CCTATCCCATGGCGCCAAACTGGGGATAATGTAGCACAGCCCCATAACCACACACCGGATGAGTCGAGAATATAAGAGGCTTGGGAGGTTCAAACACTGACATATGGAGTGCAAGTGTCGAGCTCCTACCATCACTATTACGCCCCTGGGGGCCAATTTTGTAACAAGCTTGTTACCTCATCAATTGCTCTTTCCTCATAGCCCATAATCTTAATTTTTTATTACTGGTTTCATTTTTCCCATTTCCTATATCACTTATACATGAAACTCTCATGGTTACTATAATTGCTAATTGTTCCAAGTTTCCAACAATCATATATTACACTTGTTTTTTAGAGCATTTGTATTGGTTTTATAACACACGCACCATTTAAGTTAAGAATGAAAGTGAAACCTCAACGACTTATCTCCTAGATCCTCAGGTCCCTGCTAACGCTGCTATACCACTGAGAACATCATATATTATTTTTGTATATGACCAATTACATTAAATACCAAGGACGTATAGTAAAAGATCTTTGTTATGATTTATTTATTTATTTTTTTTTTTTTTTTTTTTTTTTTTTTTCGATATAAGGAGGGTAAATAGATAAATGACCCCAATGGATTGTTATCTATATGATGTCATTCCATACTATGTGAATTTAGATACTCTTTCCCCTCTGTCTTTCATGTTGGCATGGATTGGCTAATATGGAGTCAAATAGTGGCGCCCTAGTAAGTAAGGTAAGGCAGGGCATTACCTAGTAGTAGGGTGGCAATTCGTGTTTGCAGGTTATAATTGTGTCGTATTCATATAAAGATATTCCACTAAATAGTTCAATCCAAATACGATCCGTTTAATATTTGTGTCAGGAACCCTCAACACTAACCCGACCTGTTTATTACGGATTACACGTGTAACCCGTTTAATGACCTATTTATTAAAACAAAAAATCTATATTATTTAAATTATTAATAATACTCAATCAAATAATAAATACAATAAAAATATAACTTTCAATTCAACATTCCAACCAAATTACTAAATAGTCTCTAATTTACAAATGAGTAAATTATAAAACAAAAGTTTAAATAGTTATTTTGGAACTTAAATAAAAATTTATTTATGACATGTATAGTTAAATATGTATAAAAGGGTTATACGGGTTGAACTGCCTCAACCCAAATACAATATGATTAACTAAATAGGTTAATTGTATCAACCATTTTACGACCCAAACATGTTTAACTCGTGTCGTGTTGGCCAGTCGCGTGTAACTTTATCACCAAACCAGTAGCGGCAGTGGCCTAATTGGTAGAGTACCTAACTTCTTGAATGAGCGTGCTAATGTTCAAATGCCCCTCTCTTAATGAAAAAAATAAAAAAAATAATAAATAATAAAATTATGAAGGTAGGGCAAAAATGAAAAGCATGGAATCACAAGGAACAAAAGTGAAGATAAAGTGAAACCATTGCACTTTGCAGGAAGATATTTGGATTTGAGGCTTTACCTAATTGTCAAACACATCACTTTCTTCTTTCAAATTCCATATGATTCATGCACATGATAAGTGGCCATCTAATCTTAATATAATATAATATGATTAAACTATGATAAAAATCTTCAGCTTGCTTGAAGAAAAAAAAAGATTCAAAAGAGATAAGAGTTTGAACAAGTTGCACCTAATGTGACATTCAATTAAAAATCTGCATCCGTGAATATGAGAATCGACTAAAAGACAGTTTACACTAGCTAGTGTTTGGATACATAATTTTGACTGATGTGATGAACTTTCCCAATCTTTGAAAATTAAATTGAACTGAAAGGGGGAGTTGAATGGTTCCAATTCCATCCCATTCCAACTTTATTTCTTTTCTTTACCTTTCCTTTCTTTGTTCTCATAATAATATAAAAATGAGTCACACAGATAGGAGTTATGTGTCTGCTGTCATTTTCCTTTCTCTTGGGAAGAAAACAAACAGTGCATGCATTTTGAAAAATGATGCTAAGATGTCCTTTTTCATGGGATTAGGGGACATCGGAAGGGGAGAGGAACGGTGAGGACAAACAAGAGCGTTGAGTCATGGAAGGCCATGAAAAGGAGATGCAAAAAATGGGATAAGAATCAAAGTAAGGCCACCCAATTGCTTAATTATAGATGTGGAAGCTTCATCCTTAAATTATTGAATTATTATTATTTTTTATTTAATAAAGCATTATAGTGTGTGTATAGAGAGAGAGGGGAATCAATTAACTTGAATTGACAAACATTACCTAACATGAAATACTTGATTAAATCAGATGAATTATGTGAGAATTATATATAGCAAATAGCTTACATATATTCTAGGGTTTGAGCGATAGGACTCTATTATGATATTAGTTATGAGTTGCGATGATCTAGTTGATTTTGTAAAAAGGTATCAGACACTGGCAGATTATCACACTGAACGAGTTATACATATACAATTTAACATCGCCTGGATGTGAAAAGGGAAGTGTTATATATATATATAGGAGTGTCATCTCTAAATGATATGAGATCTTTTGGGATACGTGCCGACTTAGATTCAAAGTAGACAACATCATATCATGACCGAGTAATATTCATTCATAAAATATAATGAAGTGGGACTTAACACGAGCCTCATTTATTATATCATGCTTCGTTCACAATATATGGTGAAATGGATCCTCATTTAGCTCATTTATTATGTCATACGGATCAATACTGTTTAGCTTAGAATTTCAGTACACTTTACAAACATTTTTTGGGACCAAATTTGAAAGAGCTTAAGATCTTAGGGTATGTCTATTTGTTTCTTCCATTACAAAAGCAAGCAATTCAGTATAGAGACCATTGATCCTAATCATTAAAAATGTGTAATTCCACTTGTTTGCAAGTGGCATAATTGAACCACAATCATCTTCATTTGAAACATTATGAAAAACAAACGCACCTACCATCTATGAGAAGTTTGGTACTTTATTGTTACATGTTAAAAGAGGTGGGCACCAATGTTGTAATGATCCTACTGGTCATGGGACCCAAAAAAGTCTCTGGTTCATTCTTTTGTAAAGTTGCTGGATTTGTTATGATACTCATATAATTTGTTCATAGTTCCATATAATTTTAGTAAAATTGTAAAAAAAATATTAAGTCATAAGCATGAAAATTTGAATTCAAATTTAAGTTTATATTTAATTTTATTTAATCTTTTACATTTAATTAGTTACGGAATTACCACGATGATGTGATAAAATTTATCATTGTTGTCCATGTAAACTTGAATCTAATTAAAATCTTTATTCAAAACTAAATTTAAGAACATAATCTATCTATATCTAATTCTAATTATTATAGAAAAACCAACATAAATGGGATTCATTTTAATTTTTCTCTCTTAATTTGTGCAATTCAAGGGAAGAGGAACATCGTCATAAACACTTCAATCCTACGTGGATTTTCCGTAAATGGGGCTAACAAAGTCTGCCCTTATCTCTTCAAATTAAAAAATGAGCTGGAAGAGATATCCATTATGCAATGCCAATATATAGGTATATATATATATTTGTTGTGTGCAACGTGTCATCGTCATAAAGTGACACGTGGATAGATTGATGGTTAACCGTTAACCAGAGCTACCGTTTTTGAACGAGCCTTTTGTCATTTTGGCGCAAGTGAAGTGAGTGATATGAGGCGAAGCGACCACAGGTGGCTGCCAAATTGTGGTGGACCCCTTCAACTTTGTCAAATTTACCTAGATGCCTTTTCTTATGCACAATTCATGTACAAAATAAATTAAGCATTTTTTTTTTTTTTTTTTGTTTAAATAAGCAAAGTGTAAACCATTTTTTTTTTTTTAATGCCAAAATTCAAATCCTCTTCTTTTCACTTTAAAAAGAACAACGTGACAATAAAATATATTAAACACTAAATTTTTTTGTTAATAAATAATAATAAAAAGATGTATGTGCCATCACATTATCAATTTATCATTAACTAGATTGATAGACTATGAGGCACCTTGATAATGAAATATCACTGGACACTATTAAATCTTATTAATAAATAAGAAAATGTTTGTACATGCTCTCACATAACCATTACTTAGATTGATTGATTATGAGGGGTGCAATTTACGATGAGATCGTTCTCACGTTAAAATTATTTTATATAAATTATTGAAAAAGAATTTCAATAATTTTACGATTATAATATTAAGGTAATTCCAAATTAATGTTGACCAAATTCGTAAATATTTTATTTTTATTTTTTTTAACAATTTTAAATTACATAACATTTATTAGACATTTGAATTTTTTTTGGTCTTGGCAACTTTATTTTTCTCTTGTTATTCTTTTAATTAGTTGCATTCTTCGGGTGTGATGATTTCTAGTGGGTGGGTTATAGAAACTTGAAAGCACATGAAAATCAATATGGTAGCAAATGAGAACCCCATTCCCTCAAAACACCCAACCAACACCAGCATAACCACCAATGTGGCGCACACACATTGTTATAGACACACAAAATAGAATTTTATAAAAATAAATTTCCAAAAAGATTAACGAATCATACTTGAGTAAGATATATAACTGAAAAGAATGAAAAAATAAAATTTATATGTTTGACCTTATTTATATTCATGATTAAAGAGTTACGAGCATATTTGGTTGTCAGCTAATTACACATTTTTTATTTCTGGAGCTCATGATTAAAACAAAAATGATAATTATTATGATAATTTTATAGCAATACTTTATCATTCTAAATAGTAAATGCAAAATAAATAAAAATAAAATAGTCTAATAGTCATTTTTTAATTAAGTACTATTTCGAAAAAATAATTTACTAATTTTAACTTAATTATTTATAAAAATAATTCGATAGATAAAAAGTAATGGCACACAAGTAAATCAGAAAATTTATTTAAAAAATGGTTATTTTCCACATGGCCCCACTTCTCTCATTATATCATCAGGAGTCCCCTGAACGAGTTCTCCAACCCCCACTTCGTCTTGTCTCTACATAAATTCCAAATCCAAAACCACAACCAGAAAGTGTAATTTAAACCCACACGACACATAGTTCAAATTGATGTGTCGAAGAAGAACAACACATCTTATAGAGAGAAAGTGAAAGAAGGAAGTGGCGAGGAACAACGGAAAAACCATTTCCTCTGTATTTACGTAAATGCATCAGAAAATTTTCGACCTGATCGGAGAAGATAGGAGTGGTCTCTCTTCCGATTTTAACCGAAACCCGTCAATTTTCCCTCCTTCAATCGACCAAAAACACCTTCAGATTCAAACCCTAAACCGGTCCACCAGTCAATCCAAAAACCATCTCAGAATCCAAATCCCATCTCTTTCTTCCCTTCGATTCCCATCTTCCAAACAATCAGACCCATCAACAACAACCCATCAAAATCCCAAACAGACCCAGTTTCAGAATGAACCAATTTGCAACACCACATCAACAAACGAAACCCTTCCTTCAACATCCCACAAAAGGCCTCTAATGTCCCGAACCATTTCAACTCTTTGTTCTTCCTCATTTGGAGTAGCTTTGGCATGTAGAACAATCGCTCTGAGACTTTTTCGCCACTTTTATAGTGTCCGATGGCTTCGAGTACATTTGCGTGTGTTCATTATTCTTTCATTGCCATCTCTGTACTTCTTGACCTCAACCCATCATAGCATTTTCCTTCTTGATTTCCTACCTGTTTTTGCTTTCTCAGCTGCTCTTGTAATTTCGCTTAATCTAGCTCTCCCTCGCCTTCCTTCAATTCGCCTATTTCTTGCTCGTACCTTCCCAACTAAGCTTTCATCAACAACTACAGCCTCAAAATCGCACCTTCCAGTTGTTTGGTTAATTGGGTCAAAGGCAAAATCAGAGAAAAGGGTGAATTCGGGGTCTTGGGTACAGGTTTATAGAAATGGGGATGTTTATGAGGGTGAATTCCATAAAGGGAATTGCTCTGGAAGTGGGGTTTATTACTACCACATGAGTGGGAGGTATGAGGGGGACTGGGTTGATGAGAGGTATGATGGGTATGGTGTGGAGACATGGGCAAAAGGGAGCCGGTATCGTGGGCAGTACCGGCAAGGGTTGAGACATGGAGCTGGGGTGTATAGGTTTTACTTTGGTGATGTTTATGCCGGAGAGTGGTGTAATGGGCAGTGTCATGGGCGTGGGGTGCATACTTGTAGGGATGGGAGCTGCTATGTTGGGGAGTTCAAGTGGGGCGTCAAACACGGGCTTGGTCATTACCATTTCAGGTAAATTTTCTCATCTAAGTTTGGTGAATCCATTGATAAATATCTATGCACCTTAATTATATGTTGATGCTTTAACCTGACTTCACCATACATTAGTTTAAACACCTTAATTATATGTTTGTTTTAACCTCACTTCACCATACATTAGTGATTATCTATATCAAACAGTTCCCTTTTGTTGATAGTCTATTGTTTATATATGCTTTCATTTCTGTAATTTTGTTTGGGAAGTTGGAGCTGTTGCATCAAGGTTGTGAATTTGTTTTTTTACAATAGATTGTTGTGATTTAGTGTTGGATATTGTGGTATCCTAGTATCCAATTTGGCTTTGACCCATATGATTAATCAATGTGGATTTTCAATTTTGCATTTTTGGGTTCATTAAAGTGCCTGCACCAGGTTCATGAATACCTTTTATTTTTATTTATTTATTTTTTTGTTGCAAATTCTTAGATTCATATTTGTTTGTTTTAGTTGTGTTATTTACTTCACTTCTAGTATGAATTCCATTATCATACCAATGTGTCTGGAGTTCATAAAGTTCCTGGGGGGTTCTTTTGTAGCCTGTTTTACCAGATTACGATATCTTCTCAAAATTGAATCCAGTAATGGCTTGAGGATTGAACTGGTGATTTGAAGTCTTTAAGCAATTCTTTATCTGCTTATCCACACGTCGATGGCCGATCAGTTTTTGAATGCTGGGGATCTGATAGTTGAGTTTTTCAACAATATACAACTCTTAGAAATTAAAGACTGGTCTTTTCACAAGGAAAATTCAAATTTAGTCAATTTTTTGTGTTTTAAAGTTCTATTTGATTACGATTGGATTGTTGCTCAATCATTTTCTCATGTTGTGAGGACCAAGGAAGCATCTCATCAAGAAGTTTAAGCTTAAGGGTTTACTTAGGAATTATTTGAAATTTAGAATATATGCACTCATGGGACTCTGAACTGAAAGTATGAATTACCAGATCTTCAGCTTCACGCCTTCACCTACACATCTAAAGAGAGAAATCTTATAGAAAGGAATCAAAGGATTGATCTGGTTATAAAACCTATTCTGTGAAGGATACAGCTCCAGTTGCTTGGATCTGGTTGATGGTAAACCCAAGCTTAAACTATTATGTTTCATGGTAAATGCAGCCCATGTGTGTAAATGAAGTTCTTATGTCTATTCATACGCTCCACACATGTTTAACTTTTGAGGACAGCAACAGCTATTAGCAGTGAGGGGTTTCATTCGTGGCTGTCTGTAAAATATGCCCAGGGCTGATCGTGAGGTTTTCCAGCCTTGTCAGTAGTAAAACCCAATAGCCAGGCTTGCAAGGCCAAGTCCAGTCATTTTCAGGGTTATGGCATCAGTTGCTTGTCAACCAACTATTTTCTTAGAAATAGCGGATACCTAGATCCCTCCGTAATATGCAGTAAGGCAAATGCAATAGCAGCATCTTTGTTCACATGGGGCGGATGCTTGGTGAGCCTACCAAGACAGACTCTCAAACCATCCCACCAGTGGCAATTGAACTAGTATGGTCCAACTTGGACGAAGCTCTCTTGGAAGCTTCCTGGTTCCTGCTTCCGAGCCAGGTAGATTCCAGTGTCAGGATGTGGCTTCTTGGTCTGAAGGTATTTGTGGTTTAACAAAAAGGAGTATCTACCTTAACATGTAATACAGGAGGAGGGAAATCACTTCGAGTTTACATTGTGTGTCATCTTCAAGTGCCAATCAGTGGGGGCTCCACGTCTTCCGGGAAAAATGCAGATACCTGCCTCCATTTTAACTTTTAATTGGTTAGGTTGTGAATGTACCAACTACTAAATAAGTATTGAGCTGTTAGATTATACATAATTCAGGTCTTCTTTTCTTTCTTTTCTGACAAGTTCAGGTTGCATAGTTTGAGCTGAAGTGAATTATTTGCATGTCCTGGGACTTTTTGATTCGTGTGTTTGATTAATTCATTCTGAATGTTCATATTTTAAAATTTCTCTATACAGTGACCAACTTCCTGATTTTTCTTGTTCATGCTGATTGTGGTTGATAAATGTAGTATTGGGCTGAATCCATTAGCTTATGCCTCTATCACTGCAAACTTTAACCTTATCTTGTGTAGAAATCCTGTTTGCAAGGATTTATGCGTTCTCAACCATATTGTGTTATTGCGAGAATGAATTCCGCAATATATCCAATTTAGAGTTTGCTTGTAGGCATCTTCACAATAGTGTGATTTATGGTTGTTAGTTGTGTCAGAAATCTTGTGTGTAGAGTTAACAATGAAGGCAAAAAACTTAAAAATTTGAAATTAGTACTTTCTCAACTTGCCAAAATGGATGTTCTAAATTTGACGGGTGTGCCTTATTTGAGGTATTAACACTTTCGTTGGTTTAGAATTACTGAACAAAAGCAGTTTAAAACTTTAGATGTTCGTAACTAGCATACCATCATAATACATGGGCACATGTGCATATATATTTATATATGTGTACGTATGTAAGTATTTCTTTTTTGAGTGAGAATTTCTGCTTCACACAATCATGCAGAAATGGGGACACATATGCTGGAGAATATTTTGCAGACAAGATGCATGGTTTTGGAGTGTATCGGTTTGGGAATGGACATCAATATGAAGGAGCCTGGCACGAGGGAAGAAGGCAGGGGCTTGGTATGTACACTTTCCGAAATGGGGATATTCAGTCCGGTCACTGGCAAAATGGGGTTATCAATGTTTTAAGCACTCAAAGCACCCATCCTGGGTCTCCCTTCACGATCAACCATTCCAAAGTTCTCAATGCAGTTCAGGTAACTGATGTTTCTTTCCTTTATGACAAAAGGATTTTCTTATGCCTTTTTTCCCTCTTGCCAAAATCAAGTCATCCACCTGGAACCACCATGGTAATTTTGAGTCATGTCATCAACCTTGGTCTACCATCGTGCTGTTGGATATAGTTCCATTTGTTAGAATAGGATTTCAGTAGTTGGAGTCCCTTTCTGGGCTAACTTTTTTCTTTTCTTTTTTCTAATTTTGGGCTAGTTGCATATTCAACCACCGGTCAATTGAAATTCTAAGCATGTGCTGGAATTTGGCAAGAAACAGAGACCAGAAAAATTAGGTTATGGTGAGCTGCAAGCAGTATCCTCTTGTGGCTTGCATAGAACAGACACAGATCGCGAAGTTTTATTTGCAGTTGGCTTGTATAGCTTGGTGTATGACTTCTAACACCATTTCCCAACAACTTATTAAAGTTTATTGGGGAGATTGAGTTCAACTTTTTGTCGAGTTACGAACCATGAGCAAATATCAAATTTTAAGTTGTGGACGTTTTTCCGGCTTGATGCTGGAGTGATTTTGCATCACCAACATGAAGGTTTCATTTGGATTGAAGGATTCATATGATTGGATTTATGTTTAATTATGTAGAATAGATTACTTGATGGATTTGAGAGGATTTCAAATGAATGGATTTGAGATAATTATGTGTGACAAAATATTTCTCATGTACCTCTAATCTAGGATCACACAGTCAAATCTCTCGAATTCAAATCCATTCATTTGTCCAAAAGAATCCTAAAGGATTTTTAACTTGTGCTCAAGTCAACGAGGTGCTTTTGTATCAGTTGTAATACCACATAATCTTGATTTTTGAACGAGTTACTCGTGAGAGTTCTGTTATTGTTTATTGCCTTACTATCAGGAAGCACAGCGAGCTGCTCAGAAAGCTTACAATGTGGAAAGGGTTGATGAGAGGGTAAGCAAAGCTGTAGCAGCGGCCAACAAAGCAGCCAATGCAGCTAGAGTTGCAGCTGTGAAGGCTGTCCAAAACCAAATGCATCACAGAAACAACAGTGATGATGCATCAAATCCAACCGTTTGATCCAAGAAAAGGCTTTTCGATTTTCATTCATATCCCGTTCTCTTAAATGTTCCATGTTGTCTCTTAGATTTTGCCGTCTGTAAACAGATGATGCAGCTGTGAGGTACTAGCTTGGAACCGCAATCAGTTGAAGCGAATGCGACTGATTGAGGAGCAGGATAGGTATTCTCCATTTTTTTGGCTTTAATAATTTGTAAATAGGGTTAGTTGGAGGTCTACAAGTGAAGGATAGAGGTAAAGTGCTTGAGATAGTTGAGGGTTTTCTTCTCGGTGTATGCTTGTAAATGTAAATGTATTTGTATGTGAATTTTGGCCTAAATATTAATTGGCCGTCAAGTGTTGTACGTTCATCAAAATCTTCAAACAGAGCCAGTGTCTAATATATCAACTATGGCTTTTATGAGTAATCTGGGCTTCATATGTGCTAAATTCATTTCACCCTTCTCACAAAACAATCTAATAAGAGCATTGCATGGGGTTGTGCCAGGCCGACAATTATTAGGCTTCATTTGTTTGGAATTTTGGATGTAAAATATATATATATATATATATATATTTAGTGTTTGGTTGTTGTAAAATATTTATGAAGAAAAAAATATATTAAATAACAAAAATAATTTACTCATCGAATTTTGATAAGTTATTTTACACTCCCCATCCGATAAACTCAACCTCGATTTCGATTTAAACTCTTGCCAAACACCAAAAAAAGTATCTGAAAAATAATATTTTATATATATATATAATTTTGAATACATTATGTATAATATTTAAACTATGATTACCTTTTTTCTTTTTAACTTTTTTTGTTTGTTAACATTTAGGAGAATTAGTTTTCTGAGAATTTGTTTGTAATTTATTAAAAAATTGCAAAAAGTCTTTTACTCTTTTAAACTTTTTTTTTGTTTTTTTAAGAGTAATTCAATTTAAAATTAATTCAAGATCATATTAAATTTACAAATAGAAGGATGGTTTGGGCTCGAGTTGACTAGTTTAGGGTTAAAGGTAGGGTTAGGGTTGGACTTGAGTTTAGCATTTTATATGATAGATTGGAATAAAGTTATATCTCAAACTCGCCCAACCTTGGCAACTCCTCGAGCTCTCACTAGGCCATCCTAAGTTGACACTGTATAAAATTGGTTTGGCTAAATTGATCCAACAGCTAGCCGTGATATAAAATTGGGTTTTACGAGGCCAGCCCATGTTGATATAATCAGTTTAGTTAAATTGGGTTTTACATTAAGAGTCCAGCCCAAGTTGATGTAATTGGTTTGGCTAAATTGGGTTTTGGGAGGCCAGCCCAAGTTGATGTAATTGGTTTGGATAAATTGGGTTTTAGTAGGCCTGCCCAAGTTGATGCAATTGGCTTGGCTAAATTGGGTTTTAGGAGGCCAGCCCAAGTTAGTTTAGCTCAGTTTGGCTTAATTTACCGTCACCTTCCACACCACCTTTCTGTATATTAGTAATTATATATTTTAAGAAATAATATATATAATATGTGGTTGGAATAGGAACTAAATCGAAAATTGATGGTTCCAAAACATTGGAACTGGAACCGGAAGTGAAACACTATTTTAATCGATTCTTCGGTTCCATCGGTTCTTTGTACACTCCTAATAAGGCTGACAAAATATACCCAAAACCACTAAACCATCCAAACCCGCCCAACATTTATCTGGTATTGAGTAATTGATTTAGTTAGGTAGGTTAGTCCTCCGTTTCTCCTATATAATATTCTTTTTAATTTTTATTTTTTTACTGAATAACAAATTATGAATAAAAATGACTAACTAATTTGTACTCGTCAGAATAGACTAACAATGGGCACGAGTAAGAAGCGGGTTACTCATTGAAGTGTGTAACGGTATCAGACTCTAAAAATAATTACGAATCGGCCGATATGACAAACCGTGCTTCTAAGATCCACGGTCCGATAAAATTGACTTTCTAAATTCCTAATTAAAAATTCTAAACTGAAATAGAATGACAAAAACATGAAGTAAGCAATTGAATAGTTGAAAAAACAGAAACACATGAAAATTTGACCTCCTTGCACACGTTCAATTCATTCAATCATAAAAAGAATGGAAAAGTAGTAATTGAATTGTTCAAAAGAATAAAGTGTGCCGTTTCAAGTTGAATAGTCCCTCGTGAACATGTATAGCCATTATGACATAATATCATACATTAATTATTTGCTAACACTAATAACATGGTACCCCCAATATAAAAAAAAATATCCTTCTACACCGTATGGTCAAACCTTTGACAAACTAGGCATAATATAGAACCTCCCAAATCTATTGCCATGTTTTTCTAGCCTCATGTCTCATGGTTTTGTTATTTTTCCAGTTATAAAAGTCGCATGGGACACTTGAATAGGCATTAAACTGAGTTTACACTGAGAACTATAATATATTATATTGCTGTAAAGAATTTTTTTTTATTTTTTATTTTTATTATTATTTTTTTGCAGCTTATTCAGTCCTTTGTTTAATTGTTGGTGTGGGTGGGTGGGTGTTGTAACAATTCCTTTTCTTTTCTTTTTTTCCAGAAATTTCAACAAATAAGTTCAAATTTGATCATGTAATGATGCCTTTAGTTGACAGTTAACATATAGTATGTAACACATACACATATGACATATTTAAGAGTTTAATATTGTATTTGCTCATCCTAAGAAAGATGAGCCTATAAAATATATATATATATATATATATAGTATCATGGTCAAGTAGGTCCTTGTAACCGTGTGATGAGGTAACAATCCAAACCACTTTACAGACACCTTGAGCTGGACTTAACCTAGGAAAATTGGAATGTAGCTGAGATGCTCTGTTGGGTCAAAACATGCTTTGATGTTTGTTTTGAAAAACTATGTTACACATCCAAAATGTTTTTCATTAAGCTGTAGAAACTTATTTTTCAATTTGTTCACATTTCTTTCGACAAGCGAATTACCCTTTTCAAATAAAAAAAAGATTTATGTAAAATTCAAGATTTTAAAACATTTACAGATCAGATCTTCTTAGCATTTTTTTTTGGGGGTAGAACCTATATTATCACATAAAATAATTATTAACTCAATTCACTTATTTGACACTTATAAGTGATCAAATTCTGTGACTTAAGTATTATTCATAAAAAAATAAAATAAAATAAAATAAAAATAAAAATTGGATGTACTATCTCATAAACATTTAGGAGAGTCATCCGTGACTTTAAATGGAGGTGGGGTCCATTGGATGTACTATCTCTTATCCAATCTCTTGAGTTGCTTTTAATGAGAAAGGTTTTCAAATCAAACCAACTTGTGATAAGGTCCAGTATAGTGTATAATCATTAGATTCTCGATCACTTTTGTTTTGGGTGGGTGGGTTGTTTTCGTTTGATTTTGTGTTAGGAAATCAAGAAACCGACCTCCTTTAATTTTTTTTTTTCTTTCCGTTTTTCATGATTTACATGTCGTCGATGCAAATTAGCTTTTAGATGGTATGATTTTAGAAGGTTTGAGCAAAATATTGTATAAGTCATGGCATTTTTTTTACTTTCATACGTTAAACACATCTTCTCTCGAACGTGCATTTTCACTTGTGTTTCTGTTATATGTAATTTAAATTTTAATGCTTTTAAACTATTATTCTTAAATTCGATATCCTCCTACTTTTGCTCTATGTGATTTAGTATACGTCCGTTACTTCTTATGAGATTGAATTGTATCAAAAATAAAAAATTAGAAGACAGAATTCAAGCTAAAAAAATTAAATTGAATTCTAATTGAATGAGAACAGAGGACCATCACCTTCGTGAACATTAGCATTATTATTTCATTCCCACTACTTTTTAAATAATTTTGTAACAACTTTAAAAAAGTTACAATAAAAGTACTAATGGTAGGAATGAAAATATTTTTTAAAAGTAGTAGGAATGAAACGATATAATAATGCTAATGTTGAATACCACTGAGCCCAACTTTAGTGAATTATAAAATATAAAATGGTAAAAAAAATAATGGTAATTATTATTATAAAGTATAAAATCTTCTTTGACTCTAATTAGACTCCTGTCAAATCCAACCTCTTTAGAAAGTATTTCAATACAGATTTTAATATATCAAATCCAATTATATTTTAAAACCACCCCAACATTCCAAATTCAAATTTTAATTTTAATTTTTTATTATTATTATTTTTAACCATATCCTTTCCTTTTATCCTCAAATCTCACTTCATTATTTAATGAAATGGTAAAATTCTCTGAAAACAAACAAACAAATAAATAGAATTATATGATTGTTAGCGTTCACTGTCGCCTTCCAAACCGAGTGGTCTTCGAAAGTGTCCAACACGGGTCCAAAGCCTCTGGTCTCACCTCAAATCGACAGCCGGAACGCGGAGACTACTATGAAATGAACCTGCGTGTGAAAAGGGTCTTGTTTTCATTCTGGGTCTTGTTGACTGTTTGTTTCTCTCTACTTTCTCTCTCTAAATTCTGTGAATTTTCCAACATTTGGTCCATTTTACTTCTATTTCTAGTCTGGGTTTTTCTTGTTTAAGCTTATCTAGATTGCTATTGAATTTTCTTTTCCTTCACACCATATTCTGTTTTTCTTTTTAGTTCAACTCATATATATATATTTATATAATACCTTCTCTTAGCATTTTCTTCAAATTTGCTGTTTGTTATATACAACCCACCAAATTTCTTTCATTTCTATCTGGGTTTACTTTTTCTGTTCTGTTTGGCTGTTTTTAGGCTTCTGGAATTCATTATTTTCTCATATTCTGTTATGTTTTCTTCTTGATCCCTTGTTTGTCATCTGGTTTTTTGCTTTTTCCTGGGAAATTATTGGCACCTGGGTTTCTTTTCCACGAATTGATGAATTGACAGAAATATAGGCACAATTGTTTTGATTGAAGTTTTAAAGTTCTATTGAGTCCTAGACTCTCTGGAGTGTATTAATAGCTTCAAAAATGAATTGTTTCTGCATCTTCAAGGATAAGTCCGACCCTAAGAAGCCAAAACCAGCACCTGAATTGAAAGACCGAAGTGAATCGAATAATTCGCCGTCTGTCAAGGCTCCAGAGTCAGCAGGTTCACTGCCATCTACGCCGCGGAGCATAACGGAGATGTACAAGGAGAATGAGCACAAGTTGAGGGTGTTCTCTCTTTCGGAGCTAAGAAATGCAACTAATGATTTCAATAAATTGCTGAAGATTGGCGAAGGCGGTTTCGGGAGGGTATATAAAGGCACAATTAGGCCTGCAGATGATCAGGGTGATTCTATTGTGGTTGCCATTAAAAGGCTTAACAAGAATGGCTTGCAGGTACTTGGTCTTGGTTTCATTTGGTTCTATCATTTCTAGAGAATTTTGCTTCAAATATTGGCTTTTGGATTGGTTAGTGCATGGTTAGGTAAAGATTCATTGTTTATTTGATGCACTCTTTTTTTTTTTTTTTTTTTTTTTTTTATATAGTTTTTTTGAAAAATTGAACAATAGAACCTTTTGTTGACATGATGATTTGAATTTAATTTGTGATGAAATGTGAAATAGTGTTAGATATATCAAATGTGGCCTTTCTTCTTTACTCAAGTGAAACAATGTTGGCTTGCTATATCTTTGATGATCTTATACTAAAATTTTGTGATTTTGGATTATATTGAAACTCAGAACCTCAGATAGCATGTCATAAAAAGTCAGAAAGTTGCCTTTTGGACTGATTAGTGCATGTTTAGGTAAAAGGCTGACTTTATTTGATGTACTTCTCTGATTTATTATTATTTTTTTTTTGGCGATAGGACCTTCGTTGACTGATGATTTGAAATTTGTGATGAAATGTTGCATGATGTTTTACGTATCAACATGCACTTTGTTCTTTACTTGAGTGAGAAATGTTCCCTGCTGTATTTTGGATGAACTTGTGCTAAAACATTGTATATTTTGATTTGGGATCTAATTGGCATGGCAAATATATAGTAACACAGAAATTTAGATAAAATGTCACAATTCGGCAACAATATTGGAAAGATTATTAGAATGATATTAAGGAAGAGATCTTCAGTTAAAGAGAATGAAGAATTGCTACCTAGATATAATCATGAACAAAAAAAGGGGCATGTGCTTTCTTGTGGAAATACTCTCTCTTTGATGATCAATGTGATATTAAGTTGAGATAGTGAATGAAAGCAAACAATATAAAGCATCATGTTATTAATAGTAATAATAACAATATTATTATTATTATTGGAAAAATTATTTATTGAGTTGAGTATAACCTACCAACATAAAATAAATAAATCAAAATAAGAGGGGAGAAATGTTAAGTAGAGTTTAATATTGATATTATTAAATTAGATTGTGTCTATTTCATTGCATTTGACAACACTATGATTATTCAGCTTAGATATTTTTAGTGTAGTCATAAATTGATAATTATACGGTCTTTATTGACTGTCACTTGTTTGGTGATGACTCCATTTGTTTTCTATTTTTATGCTTAATTCAAAGGATATATTTCAGTTTTACTTCATATGCTAAGTAAACTGCAAGGAACTGATCCACTTTCAGTTTCCTGTAGTGCCCAAACCTGGCCATGGGAATGACGAACTAGATGGAATCCTAGAACTTGATTTTTTTTTTTTTTTTGGTCCTAAATAACTTGATTTCCACATAATGGGAGTTTATTGAAGAGTGAACCTTGTTCATTTTCAAGCAAAGGTTTATTTTGTCATTGGTATTTGAAGTGTATCGAGTTGACTTATTCGTACCAAGATAATTTTTTATTTTTCAAGTAGTGTTTTAGAATTCAACTTTTTTTTTCAAAGGATCTTATTGTGAGCTCTAAAAGTTTGAAAAAAGATATATTTTTGCGCACACAAATAAAGGATATCTATTTCGTTAAACCAAGGGTAAATATATTTTTCCTTTCCCTACCGATATAATGTTTTGGCCAGGAGTAACAGTAGTAACCGAAAGAATGGTGTTTTTTCCATTTAAGTACCAAAAATGTTCGCCACGTGGACAATTGAAACTCTACTTTGGTGTTGGAAAATGATTTCCACTAAGAAAGACAATTTTATATGTTTCATTTCCAGATTATTTCTTTTTCAGCATATGTGTCATTAGTTGAGAGTATTACAGTATTTCATTGAGTACTATAGTTGCTACCATAACACAAGGAAGCTGATGCTAAAGTAGTCTGTCAAGAAAAGAAAGGGAATACTTCTGATGTATGCTTTAGACTTTGAATGACTGACGGTGTTCGGATTATTTATTTTGTTGACATGGCATTTGAAGCCAGAAAGCCAGCCATTAGAGTGGAGTTGTTCTAGGAAAGTGAGTACTCACCACAGATTTACATAGTTTTCGAAACAAGTTAATTCTTTTGTTCGTAGCATTTGAAATGAGTATTTTGTCATGAGCAAAGGATTATGTCATTTGCAAGGGCCATACAGACATATCATTAGTGCTATTTTTTTCTTCCCGAGCCTGCCTTTATTTTATCTTTTTCATGGATTGAAATTTGTAATCACTGCTTAAAACTCTTTCCATTAATTTTCAATTTATTTTTAGTTGGCTAGTCAGTTTTACATGTTCCCAAACCAGTTAAATAACCACTGAGAAACCTATGTTGCCACACCTTCCTGTTGTCGTCTTAATTATATCATCTTCTTTTTGGTTGCCAATTTTGTTATTTGATAATGTTTTTTTATAATTCTTTTCTTTTCTCATATAGGGTCATAAACAATGGCTTGCAGAAGTTCAGTTTCTTGGCGTTCTTGAGCACCCCAACCTTGTAAAACTTTTAGGATACTGTTCTGTAGATGGAAAAAGAGGGATTCATCGGTTGTTGGTATATGAGTACATGCCAAATAAGAGCTTAGAAGATCATCTTTTCAACAGGGCTTTGCCTACTCTTCCTTGGAAAACAAGATTACAAATTATTCTCGGAGCTGCTCAAGGATTAACTTATTTGCACGAGGGATTGGAAGTCCAGGTACAAAATACTCATTTCAGTTGAAAGTAGTTGACCAAAAAGAGTAAGCTTATAACAGCATTTTTAAGTTTCAATTTTAAATATATATAAAATGTTTTGGAACCTTGTGCTAACTAAATAATCTTGGCACTGAAAATTTTATTTCAAATGCTCTAATCTGGCTTGGATAACTGTAGCATTCCGACAAACAGACACTGAAAGAAAATTATCCCACTGAAGAAAATTCCAATCAAGTCGTCGTTTTTGGGAAAGAGTATGGCTATCAAGAGGTCTCTTTCCTGACAATAGTCATTACTTCTCTTTATTGACAATTGGATTGAAAAATGTTTTGAGATCAATGAATAAAAAATAGAAATAAAAAAGTCAAAGCAATCTTGTTACAAATTTCTCAATCCGACGGCTAATTAATAAAGAGAGCTCTTGTCATGAGAGGGACCTGTTGACAGCATATTCCTTTCAGAAATTATCATTCCTATGCCTGAATCTCTCCTTATTGGGGTGCTTTAATGTTTTAGTTAAAAACAATGAATAGATTGTTGAACTAGTTCTTGTGTTAATTGTGAAGGTGATATATCGGGACTTCAAATCTTCAAATGTGCTCTTGGATAAGAACTTTAAGCCAAAACTTTCAGACTTTGGACTTGCCAGGGAAGGGCCAACGGGTGATCATTCTCATGTATCTACAGCAGTAAGTGGATAATTTCTAGTACAGCTGCATAGCATTTTTGTTATCTGCATAAGTTGCTAACTATATAACTCCATAACACATCTTATATACAAACTCTTTGGTAATGCATCCCTGTAATGGAGGCTTGGCCATCTGTTTTTGTGCTTTGTAGTCTATTTTACCTTGTATAAGCCATGATTAAATCAAGGCAATGACTTTTGTTTCTGTGGATCTAAAATTGATGTCTGAAGTACGCAGATTAAATATGTGAAATCAACTGTAAGAGAAAGTGCTCACAATGACTTGCATTGATTGGTTTAAAGCCTATATCTACAGTCAAAGACTGGAGAAATATGAAGTAATTATATAATGCGCCCAATCCCACAAACTCTAGTCCGGTTTCTATACTCAATACCTAACGCTTGTATAACTAGGTCCAATATAGCAGAGAAACAGATAAATAACCAACTAAAAGTCCAGAAGGAATCACTGTTCCCCTATCAACTATTAGGGAAAACTATCCACTCTTTTCTTCCGCCATTCAGTAAAAGCCTCTTGGATCAGAATTTCAGTGACCATCACAATTTTCGTGAAGGACTGTCCAGAAACTAAAAAATCTCTCTAAATATGTTTGGAACAAACTTATGTTTTCGGGGACCAAGTGAAACCCCTTCCAAAGGCTTAATCAGATGGTTTCTTCAAAGTTCATTAGTGGAATGTGTGGGAGTGTTTAATAACTTTTCAGAACATGATTTATACATTGCAAGTGATTTTATGAGAATTCATTTTTTTGTTTTGTTTTTTAGTCATTTCTGTTTTTGTTGGCAGGTGGTTGGGACATATGGATATGCTGCTCCCGAATATGTTGACACCGGCCATCTCTCCATCAGGAGTGACATTTGGAGTTTCGGTGTGGTGCTTTATGAGATCCTCACAGGCAGGCGGACAGTGGAAAGAAGCAGTCCAACAACAGAGCAGAAGCTTCTGGAATGGGTGAAACTCTACCCGGCTGACAGCAAGAGGTTTACCGTGATAATTGACCCACGACTCAGAAACCAATATTCTCAGAATGCAGCTCGGAAGATTGCCAAGTTGGCAGATAGATGCCTAAACAAGAATGCAAAAGATCGGCCAACAATAAGCCAGGTGGTGGAGAGCCTGAAGCAAGCAATAGAGGAATCGGATCAGGGAAGTTCCAAGAAAATGAATCCGGAGTCATCCGGAATTAGTCTGAATGCCTCAAATCAGCATTTGCATCAGACGAGAGTTTCTGATTCTGCAAGAAGGGTGGCCAACTTAGCTCAGCCAAAAGAGAGGAGATAGTTCCATTGGGATTATTGTTAGAAGAAGAATTTTAAAGATGACCTATTTTATATCTAATAAAATTTCCTTGTGATCCTTGACAGGTCTAAATGCTTGAATATCACACTAATATATAGTGTGGGCTTTATATGAATTTTGAGGTTTGCCTCTCACATCCATGCATTCCAAGGAAATACATTTGCTCTGAACCAGACGTGTTTGATGATTATTTTAGTTTTTGTTTCCTTTAACAAGTCTAATTTTATATATGGAAGAGGGCAGAAAGAGGAGTAATAAACACGAACTGATGCATTGAATGGTTGAAACCCTCCATGCCCTAAAGAGAGAGCTTTTTTACCATGACTGTAAATCATAGAATTGAAACTTTGTTCTTGAAGTGAATTGCAAGGTGAATTCTCTTGCTTTCTGTGGCTAACTTGCACACCAAATTTTTATTTTTTCTACCCTTTTTTTGAGATTTTTTCATGGGAATTGAAATTGAAGAATACATTTATAGATATTCCATTTGTTAGGAAAGGTATGCAAGGTGTTTCCTTCAGAGAGAGAAGGGAGTAAAAAAATATTTGAATCACATTCAATAATTTTTTTTATTTATGAAAAAAAATACAGTAATTATTAAAAGAAATTTTATGAAACTAATTTTTTTTTCTTCATTCTTTTGCCTTGAATATATAAAATTTATCAAACTAAAACATTTCCAAGCCCCCAGTCCACCTTAAACCTCGAAGCCTGCAACACTCTTTCTCTCTCTCTCTGCAATATATATATATATATATATAAATGGAAAAATCGTTCACTCTAATTCAAATAATTGCCACTGGAGGCGTCTTTTCTGCTGTTTCCTTCTGGTAATTCATTCTCTTTTTTTCACAATCATTTTCCTTCGAAGAATTGGGTTTGCTTATTTACTACTTCAGATCACACTCTTCTGTCAAATTTCTGAGTATTGCATTGAAATCGGACGATCAATTGTTCTTATATTCTGGGTATTCGATTGAAATCGGACAATTACTTGTTCTTCCCAGGTACGGCTTCATGTTCGGCAGATAATCTGCTCGCAAGGAGCTAGGCGATTTGATTGAAAATCTCCGCCGTGGCAATTCCGACTCTGGTTCTCCACATTCGTAATTGGGTAACTCTCTCTTTCTTTCTCTATATATATACACGTATATTGGTATATGTATGCGCATATGCATATCATGTACCATGCTGGAAATTATGGTGATTGATTGCATTAATGTTGACATCAATGTTGCATTGTTACTTGTTCATTTTTGCTTAGCATTTAGGAGAATAAGTTTCTTGCTTTTGAGAGCAAACCCAATAAACCAATTTTGGCTTTCAAGAAATGAAAGTTGATACTACTGTGAAGGTCAAATTGTGGAAAAATAGCTGTTATTTAAGTTATTTCACACTCTCTTTGAAGTACTATTTCTGATGCAATCAGGTCTCTATGAGTATTGAGATTGACTATGTAGGACTGGATAGCCTGATAATTTTATTAAAAATGTACACTTTGAACTAGAGAGATTAGATTTGGCAGTTACTTGAATCATAGGGACAAGGGAGGGAGGAAAAACAAAGTTTTGTGAATAAGAAAATCTCCTTAAAATTAACATGATTAGCTTAAGGGGAGAGAAAATAATTTATAACAAGAATTCAAAAAAGAAATATAGAATCATTGACGAAGTTGAGATGAAATACCATAATCAGCTTAATTAATTTGTCTTGATTTGTTTCAGAAGTTGTAATACATAGAGATATAATGCTCTAATATATGACGGGGCATCATTTGAAATGAAGGAAAACATAAAGAGATATTGCACGTGCCTGGCTTTCCCATGTTTATGGATTTGATGCTTTACCTATCATTTAGGTTGGGACTCTAAATGCTATAATTTGTAGAAATAGTTATGCTTATGTACCTATTTTCTTATAGGTTGCTTTTATGATTAAGTTTATATATGTTATGAAGGTACCCGGTGCAAGAGAAGCACAGAAAAATATAGCTTTACACAAGGGGTACGTAAGACTCTTTGGATCTCTTTATTAGTGTACCATTACTGCAAAGTCTGTGGTGAGATCTTGTCACTTGGGTTTATCATGTGGTCAATTTGGGTTTGTAGGATGGTGGTGAGAATTATGCAGCTAGTTGGGTGAGTTGGGTTCTGGTAAAGGTGTAATTGAGCTCAGCTTTGAAAGTAAAACGTTCTGCTCATAAGTCCACCTTTATCTACTAATATGCACTAATTAAGAAGTAAATTATGCCTTTCAGTATTAGGGTTGTAATATACTTGATTGAGTTGCAGCCCGAGCAACAACGGAGACGTAGTATGGCAACTCCTGAAGAATTTCATTAGAGTCCTAGGTTGTGATGATCGTTAGGTGCTACTACAATCGGACTCTCTTGATTGTGTGGGATGCCAGTTACCTTTTGTTGAGTTGGAACATATCAGAGGTGGGAAAATAAATATTGATCTCCATTATTTCGGATCTTGTTGGTTGTTGGATTATTTTTGGGAAAAAATATATGAGATGTTCTTTAGATTAGTTGTCATTTCCTTCTGTCTGTCAAATAACCTATGAAATCCGTAATTCCTGATTTTTATTATTATTATTATTTTCTGTCTGCAAGAAAATCCTTTATGCCTTGCTCCAATTGAAACTGGAAGCACCCGTATCCAAGTTATTTAGCCCTAATTATAGTCGATGAGAATAAGTACACTCAGCAAGAAACTCCATTAAGTTACAGGCGGAGTGAAAAAATCTTGTCTCCTCGTGTTAGGGGACAGATTTGAATGTATTAATTCTATATCAATAATTGCCATTGTTCTAATCATTGACAAATTAATTATTGTTCTCTTGTTTTATATATGGGATATTAAATGATTCAAATGGATAAACTACTTATTTACAATGCTTTCTAACTGGTTAACTTGTATAAGTTATTTAATTTTCATCCTCTTTGTTGTTCTTTCACCTTTTTTTTCAATGATATCATTTTCACCATTTTCCATGCCTATCAATTTAGTATATGTGCAGAAGTATGTGGATTGATTTATTCGTGGTGAGAACATATGTAATTTTATCTCACTCATCCTTTAATCTTGATTCATCACTCATGCATGTTTAAAGTTATAGTACGACCTATTAATCTGGATTGTTGCATATGCAGGTTCTTGGATTAAGGATTCCAGCATAAAGTTTGCTGTGAAAAATGGATTCTCAACTTTTTTCTTGGAACTGAGTCAGGCCATGGGATCTTATCGCTGAAGGTACTTGGACAATGAAGAGATAGACATGCTATTAGCAGATGATCATTTTTAAATCTTGGCATATTGACTCTAGGTACTCAACTATACAGATTCCTAAATGTGCTTTCTTGAGAAGAAAAGTAGTTTGAAGGTGAATGTGTTCCAGAACGAAAATATAATTGTGCTACAAATGCATTAATTTATACTGTTTTTTGGTGTTTATCTCTAAGATTTACATTTCTTTTCACCTATGTTGTTAGATACTCTAAATTTCTTTGCCAGCCTTTTATCGTGCTGGTTGTATGACCCATTCTTTGGAGGAAATTATTGGGGCAACCAATTTGATTCATGTCCATACAAACCTACAGGGGAAAAGGGTTTGGTTTGTTTGGAGCTCCCAAATGGTTTTACCTGGTGTCACTCAGGCGTAGTACAAAGTTGTCATTATTTATATTTTTAACGAATTTGAAATGATACTTTAAGACTGCTGAAATAGATGACACAAGACTGCTGAATTCGAATTATAGATACGGTGGATAGGATTTTCACAGATGGTGGTTAAATATGAAAATAGGTATCTTCCAGTACTTCAGAGTTTAGATGACTTGCCTAAGGCAACATCTTTACAAAATTCATGTGTTGGAAGTTGGGATGGTTGGGTCCGGTAGATGCTGTTATAGCGTGGCTGTATTTTTTATTATAATTTTTTATGGAACAGTTACATAATTATGTTTTGCATAGCATTTGGCCATCCAAGTTGGCAATGTAATGTGGAGACTTTCACATTGTCAAAAATTAAATAGAAATAGGAATTTCAAAATAATCTTTATTTGATTTTGAACAAACACGAAGAACAGAAAAAACGTATATATTACATGCTACAAAAGGTACAATATACTCATTTTAATCTTAAATAAAGCACAATGTATTGATCCAATCTCTACAGGTTTTCCAGGACTACCAAAAAGCAGGATTCTAAGAGCAATGGTGAATATTTTTTCTCCATTCATGATGTGGAGGTAGATATACGATCTTTATTATTTTCTTGTTTTTAACAACCTTCAGAGCTCAGTGAATTGTGCGGTTGTGCGAAATGTATGGTGTATAATTTTTTATTCTTTTTTTGCTCCATTTTTCTCTTCTTCACTACCCTAGTATGGACCGAACCATTAAACATTATTATACATGAATATACACATTATTTTTACACGAGCACAGCCTCTTCAATCTTCTTCACATTATTCTTTGTGATAAATCCAACGTAAAGATCTGTCTTGCTTGAGTCACACTCTGGGAGTCTTGTCTTCCGTCCACCTTCTGACATGCTGTTTACAAATTCGACAAAGTGCCCCCAATTCGACCCTTCAAATAGCCGCTTATTCATCCGTAGATATGTAAACGCACTCAACCCATTTCCAGAATCTGATCTGCTTGTTGCCATAACTTGAGCAAATGCACCTGCATCATACCGCTCCAATGCATTCTCCCCAGCGAGTTCTGTTCCAGCAGTTTTAGTTGCCTTCTTTATTTGCCGAACTAACCCTTCAGGTGAGCATTTTGCATTCTCTGGCTGTTCCCTGTCTCTCATTTCCATGCACGTGAAATTGAGTATGACTCCATGTTTAGCCAACATTCGAGCTATTGGTAGGTAACCATCTCTATGCCTGGTATTGTAGTATCCAGCGGTTGATTCGGCTGCATGGGATCTTGTTCCATAGTGCCAATGAATGCCAGCTACTTTTCCAGACAGTTTAGCTCCAGTCCCTTCGAAGATTCCTTCTGCAGCTGCTAGGATCCTGTCGCCATGATCTAGTAGCATTCCGGAGTACCATCCTAGGAAGAACTGTCCGTACTCGTTGTTCCACGTCCCGTCTCTTTGGAAGAATCCAGTCTCTTCAGGGAATTGTTTGTAGTGGCCTGAATCATGAGGCCCACTTATTCCCCAATCTTTCTTTCCGATTGCCTCAGCTGTTGCTTCCAGGGAAGCTCTCATGTACTGTTTTGACATAGAAAATTGTTTAGAGGAAGAAAAATAAAAGATAGGGAATATACGCAAGGATATCATTTGGTGACATATGTTGTTTGATGTTTCTACAGTGTGTTATCTATAATGAATGCGTGGCGCATGATTCATTGATTAGCATGTTCTGTTTGATGCATCAATCGATCCACCTTAGAATTTTTTGGGTTGTCATAATTGAAAGATTATACTTCTAGTTCCAAAAATTACCTTGTCATAGCATTGGAATTCTCCTATTCCAGGAAACTTCCAAGTTCCATCGCTTTCTGGATAGGATGGATATCTCAGCTCTCCACAAGGGCCCATCCCCACTTGAATTTCCTGCATTAGGAATAGAATTTGAGTATTTAAAGCTTAAAAGAGGTTACTTATGAATTGAAGTTAAGAAATTTGTTACAGAAGTTAGATCCTTACCACAATAACCTCTCCCAAATAATCCTTGAATCTTTCACGGAAGCTCCTCATGTAATCTGAGTAAACCTGAATGGGTGTTCTTCCTCCGAGCACTGGTAATGAATCACAACCCAAGGAGATGTACTCGGGATTCCTGCGGCCCGATTTGTCTGTATAGACAAGATCAGGATTCTTGCTGATTTCTTCGAGCGCCCATGGGGGTAGAGGAATGCTGAAAATTCAATGATTTTTAGGTCACACTCTGGAGATGAAAAATGCTAAAAACTTTGGGAGAAAAAAAATAAAGGTGAAATAGACATACCAGACAGTATAACTTAATACCTAGAAGTTTACTACCACTTTCAACTTGGACTCTTTCTAAAGCTAGAAGAATGCTAAAACTTAAAGAGAGAAGAATTCTGAGTAAAGTAGTTCTTCTCAACTAAGTTCTCTCCCCGCAAGTGGGGGATATGGTAACATTTTAGTGAAAATTCAACACCACCTTCACCAGTATAAGGAAACAAAAGAGAGCAAAAATGTAATTTCAAGTTATAAAAAGGCTACTATCTCTAGTGTAATTCAAGAGAAAATATGTCATTGTTGGACATTTTGCAACTAGGTCTCTCTCTATTGCTAAATTGTAGATTGGTAAGGTTTAAGTAGTTCAAAATCATCATGCAACAAAAAGAAAAAACAAGTGTTCTACATGTAAAATATGCTTTCTGCAAAAATAACACAAAACAATGAGAAAGTAACACTTATTTTAGAACATACATCTGAGCTTATGTACTTGGTGATGAAGTAAATGACTTATAAATCATCTCTTCCCCTCAACAAGGTGAAAAAATATGGAAAAGACAAAATTGTGAAAATATATTGAAAAGAAATTGTAATAACACTCTTACATACCTGCAAGAGTCTCCAACATTCCCTCCACACTGATGAAAAGACATAACAGCCTGGAGCTTCAAGCCGTGCTTTTGCACCATCTTCACAAGATCAGCATACCCTTCCCAATTATATTTCAAGGGCCCATTTTTCTCTACCAACCCCCACCAAGCATCTACCATTACTCCTTCAACTCCCGCACTTTTCAAGGCCATCAAGCTGGCGTTCATTGCTCGCGGTCTGTTTAAGCTTCCCCCGAGGGATATGGTGTCGAGAGGCAGCATCACGAACACCGGCACCCTCGATTCATTTTTACTAGGAGCACCTGATAGGCGGTGAAGATTCTCCGTCTGCTCGTTTGTCCTCCCTTCCAAAGGCGAGGTTCTTTCACATGTCGATTGAGCTGCTTGGATCGAAATCTTTGCTCGAAGACGGCATGATGGCTTGGTTTGTTCAAAACAAACCATGCCGGAGAAGTCATCGGGAGTTTTGAAAGTTTTGGTATCTTTTAAATTGATGAAAGAAGATGAAGGACATGTCAAAGCCATTCTCTTTTTTCTTGGTGTTTTGAAGAGATAAGGGAGGGATATGTAAGAATTGATGAAGGCATTGAGGGTATATTTATAGAAGAAAAAGTATATTTAGTTTTGGAGGAGACAATGTTGGTGGGCTCTAGTTTAAAGGGGAAAAAGTGCAAAAATCATTGTCTGCTCACCTTTTCAGAGTCATATTTCTTAATGTGCAATTACCATTTCAAAATCATACTTCTTCATGTGCAAGTTAAATGCAGGGACTGAAAAGGGATGATTTTTTATGGGTTTTAAGTTTCAGTGGTCACTATCAGCTATATGTCTCTGATGTGGTATATTCTATGAAGAGTTAATTAGTAATCATAGAGTTTTTAATTTGCACAAAGTAGTTCTTGTACCCCACATATGACTTTTAGGACAGTAAAGGTTTCTTTAATCTCATGAGATTGTAAAGTATTAGCTCTAGGACTTGCACATTGATTATTTAATTACCGACTTGTCTATAATATCTTGAGATGATACAGCCCCTTGAAGATATTTTGGGCTTCTTGTTATATTAGCTACACCTGTCCTAGTTTAGATTAAATTTGCAGTGCTTTATGGTCATTTAGTTTAAGTTGGTCAATTGGCCATTATATAGGTTTATCTGCGTGCCTCAGATTAGATAAAAGATGTAGATATTTTAGATTGTATTAATGTGCCATTATTGGTTTATCTGCTTGCCTCAGATTAGATAAAAGACGTAGATATTCTAGATTGTATTAATGTGCCATTATAGGTTTATCTGCATGCCTCAGATTAGATAAAAGATATAGATGTTCTGGATTGTATTAATGTGCCGACCAAAGGTGTTATTTTTTTCCTGTTTTTTCCTATTCCCTTTATTTTCAAAATATTCTTACTCAAATTTAAGTTTGCCAATTTGTTTGAGATCATTTTGTTTACCATAAATAGTATCTTTTATACTTCTATTTGAACGTCTAGCTCCACCTCCACTTCTTCAAAATACTATGGTAACACTTCTATTAACGTGCTACACTGACCTTACAATGACTTTGGTAATTATTATTTTTTCTTAGTTGGTACTCTCGTACACACACATGCCTCATAAACAATTTCTCATACCTCAATAACTTTTGTTCCTTCAATTTTGATTTAAAAAATAAAGTGGGAATTTGCACATCTAGCTACAGGAGAAAGGAAATTCGGTGGTCAGTTTCCTCCAAATAATCGGCCATATCTCTTGGTGTAATATAACAATGGACAGTTTAGCTTTCGCCACAACCTGCAAACCACACAAACTTAGCTAAGTTCCCTTTGGTCGACATATATGTGGATGAAAAACATTTTAAATTCTCAGTGTTGTTTGAATTTTGGTTGGTTTAGGATAAGATGATTGGAGGGTTTTTCCAAGGAAAAGTGTGTGGTGGTAACAAATTCTATATTTTTTTGTTTGTTGGATATTTTTTTTCTGTAAACATATCCATAACTTTAACTACTCCACTCAACAAACATACAGTGTAATCCATGTTGATGAGAAGGCCTCAAGGCTTAGCCTTGAAGTAATTTGACCTGTACAAGTGGTGGATCATGGATGTCTCTGTCTAAGCATCTCCCAACACATATTCCATGCTTTTTATACACTTTCACATTCAATAAAATTGTGTTCTTTTAATTGAGATATTTATAGTTTTGGAATATAACTCTGCTAGTGCTGAACCAAGGATCGAAATTTTTTGATGTGGTCCTAAGCCTTTTGAACTGTTATCTGCTCTTGTTTGTTTTGTTTTCGGCTTACCTGGACAGATCTGTTGTTTTTCTCCGGCTAGATCTCTGATCTAGGTTGGTTTTGGGTTTTTTCCCGCTTAGATTTGATCATTTTCTCCTTAATTGGATCTTGTGCGGGGTTTTGTGTGTCGGAGCGTCTCGTGGTTGTAGCTTTAGAACGATTGTCGTGCTGATGGCTAGATCTTTCAGTCTCTCCAGTTTGCTGAGTGTTGGACTCTGTTTCCTTCACAAATCTAGAGACTATTCTTCATTTATTTGCTTTGCTTCAAGATTTGTATGTCTTTTCTGACTTGACTTTATGCCTCTGTATTGCTATCAGGACTTTAGGCCTTTAAGCCTTTGAATGACAAATAAAAAAATAAAAAAATAAATAAAAAGAATCATGAGTGTTGTATTTTGTAGATAAAGGCATTTAATTGAGCGTTGGTGTGTTGGAGAAATTGGCAAAAAATCAGTTTGTACACATTCTTAGAAGTGAAGCAGCTAGGTGAATACGGAATAGAACTGCTAAATGAATTTTATATGAGTTGAGTACGAAAATCTCACGAATATAATTCACATGGTGAGAACCTTTAGAAAAGTCGGGGAAGCTGGCACTATTGCAGTGTTTTGAGCTTTCTCTTCTTATTATAGATTTTTTTTTCTCAGTTGGTACTTATACGCACATGTTTCTACTGAGATTCGAGCTTCTAACCTTTTTTTGAAAAGTAGGAGCCTACTAGGCCACAGCCCTATTGATTTCCATCCTAGATTATTTTATTATCAGTTGCATTTTTGTTCATGAAAGGCTGCTAATTTTGGCTTCATCTCTCCCTTTCACAAATAGATCGTCGCCCGTCAATCAAGATTAATGTAATGTATGGCATAGAAAGATTGCGTAAGGTTTAGGGGATGACATTGTATTGTAGTGGTGGATTGACCCTTTTACAATAGAATAAATTATGTTTTTACATTTGTGATGACTTTCTTCTCTGTTTCTTTTCTTAGTAGTAATTATATTTGCCATGTATATTTGTGAATAGATGGAGGACAAAAAAAGGGTCATTATTTGTGTGTATTCAATATCAACAGATGCAATTGGCTGGTCCAAAATGACTCTAGTACCAAAATGTTTTACAAGTATGAAAGTTTGCTTATTCCATTCTTTGAATATGTATATGCGCTTTAAGATTTGGTATATATATATACCTGTTATATTCATCTCTAAATAAAATGAGATATTTAGGATACTAAGGGCTTGTTTGGTTTGTAATTCTGAAAATAATTTTTAAAAATTCAGAGAACAGAAAACTGTTTTTTGATAATAATAAAAGACAGTTCTCTGAAAATAGACATTTTTATAATTGAGTTTTCATAAAGCAATTTTCAAAAAATTGAACTAAGCAAAAAAAAATTTATATAATTTTCTATTTGCAGTTTTTTAAAAATAAAAAATTATTGTCAAAATTGCAAACTAAGCTGACCTAAGTAACCTTTTGTTATTCTACTTTGTACTTAGGATGTACTTTACTTTCAGTTTATTCAATAAGGAAGTAGAATAGTAGAGTACCTATGTTAATATTTGGCTAATTTCATGGTTGAATGATGTCTTCTGTTAAATGTCATTGATTGACAATGTCCAAGCACGATGGTTGAACACGCACCTTCACTTTTCTTACTATTTTTATGCATCATATATTTAGTGGGATTAAAGGAATTGTGATACTAATTACTACGTAAATGACATTGACAGAGACAGCATATCGCAGTCGGCAGTCATCATTTGCTCAAAGCATAGCACTCAAGTCTCTTGTCGATGCTAGTTCGGTTTTTATTCAAGATAGAGTTTTCTATTGAGCACAGCTGTTGGCCTAGTATTGTGTGTGTGTGTGTGTTTATCATTAGTTTGTGTGCAATTTCTTCAACAAAGTGAATTATGAGACGCTTAACAAAATGGTATGTCGGGCTCAATATTTGCGGGGCCCACATGGTGTTTGTCTGCGAAGGAAATGCAATCATCGAGGACCACCTTGTTATGGAACCCAGTGGTTTGGCACTTGCTGGGTGTTTTTGAATCACAGCTTCTCGGTGCTTACCCTACCCTAAAGTAGATGGTGTTTGTTGCCTTCTCCTTGGAGAGCGGTTAAATCCGGCTTATCTTGTTGTCCTTTTATAAGCCGAAAGTTTACCGGTTCAAAACAAATAAAAACAATAGTTCAAGGTTCCGTTTAATATGCGTTTATTTTTTGTTGTTTTTGTTTATACAGTGTCGATTTTGACAATAAAAACATATTTGGTGCGACCTTATTTTATTTTACAACGTGCTATCGTGAACAGTTGTCCAAAACTAAAACACTAAAAAATTAAAACTATATTTTACATGTTTCTATTTCCGACATTTTCACAGTAAAATTTCGTTCCCAAATGTGCTTTCGATTTTTTTCTAAAACACTCTTATAATAAAAATATTGTTTTTGTTTTAACCAAAAACAAAATGACTGAAACAAAGCGTATGTCAAACCAGTCCTAACCTTTCTAAGACCTTGCAAAGTTTACGTGAATACTGATTTGATTTCGTTACACTTGTATCCATATTGATTGATACAAACTTGAATTAGTTACACCGCGTTGTGTGCGTGTTTGATAATTGCATCTGCGTGTGAACCATGATGCGAATCTGGTTGCACCATTAGGAAAGCAACTAGACGACTTTTTGATGTGTTTTTCAACGGCAAAGAATGAATTAGGGACAAGCTTGAGGAAGTCCCAATCTAAATTACCATGTTCACACTTGCAACTACAGGCTGTCATTTCTAACTTATCCATGGTTAATGGTCCCCCAGTAAAACCCTCTCTTTCTCAAATCGTGGCTCTCCAAGCAGAAACGTAATCAATTCAATAGCCACATACCTCCCAGGCTGCCACTGACCCTACCTCTCCTTAGCATCCAAGCAATCTAAGCATAGTGTTAGTATGACGATGTGAGAGACTTGGAAATACACATTTATGTATATATATATATATACATATGTATACTTTATCCAGCTAAAAGACTGAAAACTCTGAACCAAACATATTTTGATATAACCCCTCTGATATAATCTTTTAATAAAATTGACTAGAATGATTGTGTGGAGAGGATAAGAACTATATGGGTGGAAGAATTTATTTTCAGTAAATTGGTTATGAAATATTTATAATCTGAGATTTTATTCAAATTTAATTATTTTTTTATATAAAAATTAATTATAGTTATAAGAGAAATTTCACTGTTAAACACTGAAAACAATGAAAAGTTCATTATGCCCTCCAGCCTAACATTTATATTTATATGTTTAGAATTTTTTTTTTTTTTTAACAAAATGAAATATTATATATATATATATATATATCAATAAATTTAAATGGTCTCCTATGTCCTCCAACTCTGAATGAATATAAAGAGATGAGTCTTGATAGAACGATAAAAATGTTTTATTGTGACTTTAAAGTCATCTGTTCAAATATAATAATAATAAATAAATAAAAGGTCTCTACACGGAGAGATAAGAGTACGTCCAGGGACGGACCCAGCAGGGGACTAGGGGGGGCAGATGCCCCCCCTGAATTTTTAATATTTTTATTTTATACCCTAATGTTTTTAAAATTTATGAAAATGTCCCCCCTAAAATTACAATTTGCCCCCACTGGATTCTTTTTTTTAGCATTTTATACTTCAAATTTTGATAATTTATGAAGATGCCCCCACTATAATTATAATTTGCCCCACTGATTTTTTTTTTTTTCATTTTATACTTAAATTTTTTTTTAAAATTTATGAAAAAACCCTATTAAAATTACAAAAATGAACCCATCATATAATTTTGTACCACAAATTAAAAATTCGCCTCCCCTCACCAAATTTTCTGGGTCCGTCACTGAGTACGTCCATCTAATCCTTCCTAGACTCAAGTGCACTGACTACTGAGTTTGCCCTATGTAACTCTCAATACTGAAATTAATGTCATATTAAATCATTTAAAATGTTAGTCTAGTAGTAGTACTTTCTCGTCTTTTAAAGTAAAAAGTCGAGGTTTAAATGTGTAACTCTAACATAAGTACAAAAATCTAGAGAGTGAATTCAAATATGTAAGAATCATGGTCTCTCTATATGAAAAGGGAGAAATTTTTTTTTTTTTTTTACAAGATAAGAAAGGTTAGAAGTTATATTAGTATATGCAGAGATTCGAAGTCTGACACTTCAAAGTCCATCGAAGGTACTAATTCACTGAACTATCAAGGTATTTGCCTAAAATTCAAATGTAAAAGACCCCATATTGTATGCTATAAAAGCCAAAAAGGATGTTGTATTTATATAAAATATCACCATATAAATGATCTACTAAAACACAATTTATTAAAAGATAAACAACAAAGCACTCAGTGATAAGATATTGTGGAAGTTTTTAATAATATACACATATACGTATTTGTTTTGTGCACGTATATATACACTTTCCAAAAATGTTAATGGAAAGGTACAGCTGGTCAATAATCTCTGCACAGGAGGAGCTAACTTAAAAAATCCATAATGTTAAATTCAAAGCAATCATTATTGCTCAAAATGAAAGCGAAGCGTGTTGAACCAAAAACAAAAACAAAAAAACAAATATCATCAATACACAATCGTTGATGGACTAGAAAATTTTGTGATTGATGGACTCAGAAAATTTTGTGAGGGGGCGTTTTAATTTATAGATATAAAATTATATAATGGGTTCATTTTTGTAATTTTAATAAAAAAAAAAATTTCATAAATTTTAAAAAATTTAACGTATAAAATGAAAAAAAAAAAAATAAATCAGTGAGGCAAATTATAATTCTAGTGGGGAAATCTTGATAAATTATCAAAATTTGAAGTACAAAATTTCAAAAAAAAAAAAAAGAATCTAATGGGGCATTTTTATAAATTTTTAAAAAATTAGGGCATAAAATAAAAATATTTAAAATCCAGGGGGTCCGTGGCAGTACACAATCATTTACTTTGCCAAAAATATTCTCTGTGGAAAATATCATCCCAAGTTTCACTAGATATTTTCCAAAATCACTTTGTATGTCGAAAGTATCTTTTAAGCTTTCCCTAGATATTTCATTTGAATGGATATTCTTTCAATGATATTTTGAAGATATTGACGGGAAATTTAATGAGAAAATATATATAAATTTCAAGAACCATATGTGTGAAGCACAAAAGTCCCTGCTTTTTATGGTTTACAAAAGGCTGCTGGCTAACTCGATATATATATATATATATATATATATATATATTATTTTAAGGACTAACTCAGAAAATCTTTTACCAAGAAGGACGGGAAATGTAACCCAAAGTGCTGCTTTCTCATAATATCAACCCAAACGCCCTTTAATATATATATATATATATATATATATATATTATTTTAAGGACTAACTCAGAAAATCTTTTACCAGGAAGGACGGGAAATGTAACCCAAAGTGCTGCTTTCTCATAATATCAACCCAAACGCCCTTTAATATATATATATATATATATATATATATATTATTTTAAGGACTAACTCAGAAAATCTTTTACCAAGAAGGACGGGAAATGTAACCCAAAGTGCTGCTTTCTCATAATATCAACCCAAACGCCCTTTAATGAACATGTAAGATATGGAAGCTAAGGCATGTCAGGATAGATCCTCACTAAATATTCAGTGTTCAAATTCATGAAGTTGATATTTGGTGGAAGTAACGAGATACAATCAAAACATGATATAGAAGCGACAAAAGAACGCCCTAGACAGATCAAAACGGCAAAACATGATCCATGTATCCGATCCCAAATAATTGGAAAAGACTTTCTTGAATTGAGTTGCATAGAATGACAAATCATTGTACATCAGAATAAGTTTTTGCGAGCTATGAACATCGCTAAAACTAGTGACTTGCACCAGAAACATGTCATAGTCCAAACATAATATGTGCTACTACTGTTTCTACAGCTTCCGGATATGATTTATATCATATATAAAAACTGCAGTTACAAGGAAATAATATGGTTCGATTTAGTTCCTTGAATTTCAAGCTTCAACACTCTGACATCGGAAATGCAGATCCAATATTGTCTCCAAGGCGGTAGCACTTGATATTAACAAGGTACGGACCAAGCTGAACGTGGTTGTCCTCCCCACCCATGAAGAAACAAAGCGTATACAAAGCTACTTCAAACTCTGGGCTAACACCAACCAAAGTACTCGAGACAGATTTCAGAACACCATTCCATTCGAACTGAATTGTAAGCAACTGAGTCTCTGAGTCAGGCTGCAAATTGACACAAGCGAAAAAAGAAAAAATTACAGCAAGGACAGATTACAATTTTAGTATACGATAAACAATCCTGAGATCTACATGAGATATATAAGAGAAATCAACACCTAATCCCAGTTCAATAGTAAAAACCATGTAGGTTCCTTAAATTCTGCTGATTCTAATTAAAAAATGTACCCCAATGGAATGCTCCTACCTAAGTGACAAGTGGGTATTCTTCTAGAACATCAGACATATTTAGAGTTTTTTTTTTTGGATGGGACTAGAGATCAGCACCACTTCAAGGACCCTCTCCAAGATATATGTTTTTGTGTGTGTGTGTTCGGGAGTGGGGTTGCCAATGCGAGACCCGAATATCTCCTAGGTGGAGGAATAGCAACGCACTTTTTCTGAGTGACACGACTAATATTGTGGGTATAATTAATCCCAGAGATAGAGGAGCACTAAACGGGAAATACATCCCAAGAAAATTCTATTGATCTCCCACATGGAGGGAATTGCTTCCTTTAATTTTCTCTGAAAATATCAAACTGAAATAGGTCAACTTGTAAGCTACATTCATCTCATCTCATGTTATGCATCCTTTCAATAACAATTGCACATAACCCAAGTCCAGGACTAATTTATCAGCATTTAGATACACCTTTCCTGTTCATCCATTGAAACAAATGGAGCCTTAAATTCATTTGAACCATTTGTTTATAAAAATTATTAACATACTATAAGGAGATGAAAGTTCTACATAAAAGTCTTGGTAGTCCCCACCAATTCAAACTATTGACCTCAAAAAATATTTTGCAAATAATCTGCAATAAATTAGTAAACTTTGACTAAGGACAAAATTTAAGTAACTCCCAAGTCCCAAATACAGGCAACTTTTTCATTGAATGCTTATGATCTCATTTTTAATATTTTAAACAGCAGTAACCTATTAATGTTGCAAATTCTTCACAAAAAAAAAAAAAAAATGAATTATTAGCACTTTTCATACTAAGATAATCTACACGCTTAGATGTTCTTCATGTATTTACTTCTTGATCCAATTCAAAATAGCTCTTTTGCAATGACTACACTTGGGGTAGCAAATTAAACCCAACTGGCTGGGATCCCTTTCACACAATCAAGCCACAAAATTTGTTAAATGCTACGCTTTTTGTGGCAAAAATAAAGCATAACAGCACAAATATGACACTGGTCCAACTCTTATGCTACACTGCTATTATTGATCTCTTCAGTTTTCATTTGTTGCCCTGGTCGTGAGAGTTCTACTTAAGTAAGGAGCGCCCTTAGATCTTTTCCTTTTTATACTAATAGCAAAATAATTATAAGATTTTCATAGCTGTTATATCTAGTATGTGTGAATACATAATTGCATGAAAAACACTTAATCCTATGGAACCAAAGTAAAATGACAAAAGGCGAGCTCATGCAGCCCAAGAATGAAGTGAATTCCCATTGTGATAGGGCAATCATGTTTCAATCACTTCAAAAGAAACTAAGTGAATTGTGTAGAGATATACTATAAAAAGCCCATTTGGCTGTAGAGACTACAAGGAAAATAAAAGAAAATTTTAAAATTTTACGAATTGGGGTCAGAATGGTGGTTGTAACTTGTAAGATTCCAAATTCACTCTTAATTACCTTAACCTTCTCAGAAACCAAATTGAGCATAAGCAAGTATGAAATTACTTACCGTCTCCCCACGTCTTCTAGGGAAAATATAACCTTGATAGTCAACTCTCCCTTTGGCTTCTTCCAAGTAGAACTGCAAAAGAAAAGATGCATAATATATTAAAATTAGTTGTTGATGGGAAAAATAAATTACTACAAAAAGACTAATTAAATAAAATATATATATAAACTAAACAAGCACATACATAGCAAGAGGGAACTGTCACAATTATCATAAATTTGAACATTCAAATAGTAACGTATCTAAATACAATCCACTGATTGTGTGTTCTCTCTCTCTCTCATCACCTCCAGGCACATCACCTAACACTACCTTCTTTTTTCTCATCATGTAGTAAAATTGATCTATCCATATACATGTACTGTTTCGACACTAACCTAATCCACTGTGCAATTTGAATCCACTAAATAAAGAAAACGTAAGCAATTGCAGTCATAAAAGTTTTTGAATTCCAATTGATTATGATCAATAACTAACATGAGGTTCTTTTAACAGAGAAGATATTGGGTGCACCGGGTATACCACATCATTGAGCACACCCAATGAAAATGCACCATATCAGTTTGTTGTCAGCATTTTTTACAAGTATGTGGGACAAATTTCATTGGGTGCTGCATTTCATAGGGTGGGCATACCAATGGCGTGATATGCCCACCGCACCCAATATCTACTCCTTCTAACACAACTGGATACTATTAATATAAAAAGAAATAAATGTAACATGATACACACCTGAAGCCAGTTATGGAAGCCTGACACTTCTTGCTCCCCACGTTGCTTGATTTCTCCAACAAAAACATGTTCAAAAGCAGAAGAACAACCATATGTACCACCTCGACCATACAGATCAAACCAAAGACCTGTCATAAATCTTTTAAAATCTTGAGAATCACCAGATACAATGCCCTTGGAAGAAAGATACTTGTGGAGATATTTTATTGGTGCAGTTCTGCTGATCTCTTCTATGAATGCGGCTTGCTCTTGCCTCTCCTGAGAGGTGACAACTTCTTTATGCCCTTCATGTGGGTTGTAATTATCTAGAAGAGAACAGAAACGAGAATAAGTAGCCCTCCTGAATATGTCTTTGCTCAACCAGGAAAATAGGCTTCCTTGTGCCATATCTTCCTTTTGGTAAACCTTCTTCCCTTCTCCACAATCAATCTCATAGTCTCTGCCAGGTATTAAACGGTTTAAGTCAAGTTCCCAGAGCTTGCTACAAGCTTTTGACAGGTCCGCAAGCTCATTTTCTGAGGGTTCTATGTCAACACCATATTCAACCTCACTAGTATATTCTTGCTCACTAGCGGGGCGTTTGTAATTGTTCCAATTATCCATCTGTACCTGTAAATGTGTGTTGCCAAAGTATAGCATGAGAATTAAACTGCTACTGTTGACAAATTTCTTCGAATTCTTGAATTTTATGGTCAAAGAATTTAATAAGGGAAATTCATAGTTTAAAATATCATTACTGTGCATTCAACCATCAGCTGTCAGGCAAATGCTGAGGAGGTGTAGACATCTGCTAGAAACATGGATTTCAGACAAGCAGTGTCAACTTTCCAACAGCTTAGTTTCTAGTGATATCTCCTCCCCTTTCCAAATGGAAGGTTGAAGGTTTAAGTTCTCATAAGGGGCAATAGTGGGTGCACATCTTACCAAAAAAAGAAGAAGTTACACAGGTTAATTAACACTACACAATTACATTTCTTGGAGAATAATCATAGACTTGAAATTTTTATAATAATTCTGCCTTTAGCTCAAGTGTTTACTCAGTCAAGTGGTTGGCCACTGCCTTATCCAAGCCTCCCATCAGTTACACACACACACAACTACAAATTATAAAGTTAAGCTAACCCCAAGGGGTTATAACAGGATAGTAATCTTAAGCCAGTAAAAAGTTTTATGAACTATAAGATTAGACGTTTATCATCATCGGTTAAAGCCAACTGGAGATTTTCAACAAATTTGGGCTCAAATCTTCAGTGTAACTTGAATATCTTCTTTAGACATCTATGCCATAATTTTTTAACCCATCATTAACAAAAGGTAGTGCTATCAATACTTCATGACTTCATCTAACTTTTGCATGACCAGAAAGCTCCAATAACTATATTTAAATTCCAAAATTCTCTGCCCACCAAATTGTTCCATCTCACAATACAAATAATAAATCATAAAACTACTGCAAGCCTGCAATATTATAACCTTCTTTGACAAAATACTGTAATAGAAACTGCAAATCTTGGTAAATTATATTGTTAAAGGAAGTGCTTAAAAATAAAGAAAGAAATAATCACACGCTACATTCAGTAGTCGGGCAAAAAATGTTAAATAACTGTACTTTCTAACTTACAAAGTGCTTAGATCCACATTAAGTACGCCCTATAAGCATTAAGAAGTCTCACTAGTCTAATTTGACCAATTATCTGGCTAAGCATCAATCAAGGCACCACCAATAGCTGGAGCTAAAAAACATTGAATTCTCATAACAAAATCTTCTTCGTTTCTTCTTCTTTTTTTTCAGAACATCTTTTTATCTTTTTCTATAGTCTCTCTCTCTCTAACAGTCAAACATTCACAACTTTGTCTGTGCAACTTAACAAACCAGTGGAATTCCACATCCTGGAACCTCAATCAAATGGCTACAAAAACAATGTTGTCATCCATGTCACAAAACGAATCAAGCAACCAAATGAATTTTAGTGTGCCTTCCATGAGTTCAATTAGAATATACCTTTTGTGGTCGCTGTTGAGGCTTTTTGCCGACAGTCTCCCAACCATCATTATTCTCCTGTCCCTCCTGTACATATTCCACCAAATCAAATTTTACAAATGACACGAACTAAAATGTTTCACCAAGAGATGTGATTTGACAGGCTAAAAAAATAATAATAATAAAATCCTTTAAATCTTATAAAAATACCTAGGATATGTATAATAACACAAAGTTTTGTAACACATGGATTACACCAAGGATAGTCCGTATTCATATACAACAGTCTTAAATGATATAACGAAAGACACAAAAGGCATTCCAAGGTGCATATTGTTTGCTGATGACATAGTGTTATTGGATACTTCTAAAGAAGTTTTCGGAACAATATTAGAGATATGGAGGAATACAATAGAAGCGAATGGACTAAGAACTAATAAAACTAAAATGGTATTGAATGTAAATTTAATAAAATATTGGAAACTAATAATATAACAATAACAATTAAAGACCAAAGGATTACACAAAATAATAATTTTTGATATTTGGGATTAATAATACACGTGATGGGGAGATAGAAGATGATGTCAATTGTAGGGTAAGATGAGGATGGACAAAATGAAGACCTGATACTGATATTCTATGTGGGGGAAAAATAAAAAATAAAAATAACCCACGTAAATTAAAAAGAAAAAATTTATATGATGGTGGTAAGGCCAACTATCTTATATAAGGCAGAGTGTTGAGAATTAGAAAGGTAATAAGAAAAACGCACTCATGTAGATGAAAGATATAAATGACTAGAAGATATAGAATTAAAAATCAAAGTGTGAGAGAGAGACTAGTAGTGTTTATTGGTAATAAAATATGCAAAAGTGGGCTTAGGTGGTATGAACACATGCAACGTAGACCCTAGATGCACCTGTGAAAAAAAGAAGATTAGTTTACAAAGAAGGTAAAAGACAACAAGGCCGACCAGAACTAACTTACTAACTTGGGATGAAGTAATTAATAATGATTTTTTTAGAAATAAAATATAAAAGGAGACACGAATTTTAATAAAATCGAATGGAAAAAAAAAAAATTCACGTGGCTGGCCCCCTTCGTACTTTAACATGAGAAATTAGAGAATCAAAACAAAATCAACCTTTTGGTTCCAATGGCTTTGGTTATAATTTTGTGTCCCACCATCTTCACCCCTTCCATACCCCTCATGCACAGCCTGCATTTGATACATTGCTTAGAACTTGCACCATTAACAGATTTCAAAAATGTATCCAAATAGCACAAGGTTAATATAGCCAATTATACAATGATAACCATATCACCGAATAAATTATTCGGAACAATACATAATATATTGCTTAACTTGCACCATTAACAGATTTAGAAATGTATCTAAAAAGTACAAGGTTAATAAAGCCGATTATAGAATGATAACCATATCACCGAATAAACTATTCCGAACAATACATAATATATTTGTATTATGCGAATGGTTGTAATCTTTTCAATAACAAAGAGGAATAATTCTTTCACTACCGCTTCTTCATGAGTAAAAAACAAACATGATCACATAAGGATCATGACCTTTTGTGTAAACCTATATGAAATCCTTCAGTCCTTTTTGTGAATGATCATATAATGACCACCTTTATAACCCTCTAATGTTTTTCACCATCAAACTTCAAATGGTGAATACTCCTTTCTTAACATGATTCATTTTTCCAAATTTCAAGGCAATTACAAGAACATTGTCTTAGTGTTTAATCGTGAACTAGTTACGCATACCAGTGACATACAAGTGCAATGTGCAACCTAAATAATACTAATCGTAATAATATTAATGATAATAATAAATGAAATTAGCAAAGTAATATTATTAAAAATACTGGTCTGCTACAAGTAACACCTGTTCACGCTGGTGCCAAATATCTCATAAAATAGTGGAATTGCAATGTTTTAACTTTGCTGTAATTGTAAAACATAAAGACAAAAGATGTACTTCAAATTATTGATTCGCTAACTCACACAAAAACCCTGGCATGGAAGATCGGTATACACTAGCTGTGAAAAAATAGTAAATATTCATTTTTGAGTTTTAGCAATTAAAGGTATTGCCGTTTATTTCTTAGTTTTGAGTTTAGCACATACTGAATCACCCACCTAGCATGTAATTCAAAATGCACACACACAAGTCACAGCTTTATCAAGAAAAACTCACACCTGTCTTCTTTACCTGAGTGTCATAGAACTGGGTATCTTTCCACGTTTTGGCAATTCTTCAAGACTTTCCTTCTAGTTCAAATTTTTAGTTTTGAAGCAATAAGGGACCTAAACTAAACAAGCCTTTTATGATAGGTTGCCAACGTCACAACCAACATAAGCTCATCACAAAAACCCACCAATATGTTTATCTGTTGATATTTCATGTCATCCTCAATTCTTTCCATCACAGTCGGAAACAACTTACTCGGTTTACACTCTTCCTCTTCCAACTATTAAAATTACCAATTGCTTTACTAATAATACTTTCAAAAACCTACATACATTCTAACAAATGGAGATTCAAATACTAGACAATAATTCATACAGTAATTCCCTTTATCCCTCATTTAAGAAGCACAAGCCCAGAGTAGTCACAAACCTGACTACTATAAGCCACAAAATGAAGTGATCAAATCCCCACAATTTAACAAATGGGGATTTCCAATTTGAAACAACACTTCATAAAGAAAAGATATGCATTCCCTATTTAATCAACACAAGCCTAAATTATCCCTCATTTAATCAACACAAGCCCAGATTAGTCACTAATCCGACTATTACAAGCCATGAAGTGATCAAATCCCCAGATTTTTACAAATGAGGTTTTTCAATTTGAAACAACACTTCAAAAAGTAAAGCTATATATCCCCTATTTAATTTAACATAAAACTAAATTATCCTCATTTAATCAACACAAGCCCAGATTAGTCACAAACCCAACTACTATAAGCCACAAAATTCAGTGATCTAATCCCCACATTTACCCACACTTTTACTGATGGGGATTCAAATATATTTAATCTAACACAAAACCAAATTGGTCACAAACCCAACTACTATAAGCCACAAAATTGAAGAAATCAGAGAAAGAAAAAGATTAACCTTCTGGGGTCGCATTTGAGTCCATGATCCACCTGTTTCCGACTCCTCCTTCCTGCCATAGTTCTGTTCCTGCACAATCACATCCACATTTCATCACATAATTCCACTAGAATTTCAATTCCATTTTCACTACCAACACCTAATACCAACCTCTCTATTCCACTGATTGTGTTTATATCCATGTGTACGGTCATTGCTCGATTCGTCGTCCTGTTCTCCGGACACGACCTGCGCATTATATCATCCATCACTACTGAGTCCAAAAAAATGAGATCAAGTAAGGGGTATCCCAAAATGGGATGCTAACCTCCGCCCAAGTGGATCTGGACCGTTCATCACGGGACTGAGAGTCGGTCTCTGCGTCTCTGTCGTCGTGACCCAGCGCTACATTGAGCAAGCCCTTGATCAGACCATCCATTGCAGTGATAGTATCCGATTGTTGAAAGAGAGAGAGATGTGGGGTGATCCAATCCAAATCGCTGACTATATGACAATTATGATATCCGTTGAATAAAGTTATTGTTGATGGCGGGTAACGGCAGTGTGTAAATGTTAGTTGGTGTGGGTTTTCATGCTTTTGCCGACATGTTAGGATGAGACATCTGTCGACGAGTGGGTGGTCACCTTTTGTTATAGCACGACAGTATATAACTATTGGTTTTTTTTTTTTCTGAATCCAAATATACGATCAAAGTGGTTGTAGCTAAGGATAAGGATCTGTGGGTCCCTACGGACTCGTGTCTGGTATTTAAATTGATAATACAATCATTATTATTATTGGGGTTTGATTGGTATGATCGGATCACTACTTTTTTTTATAAACTAATCAAATTATCCTAATTTCTCATTCAGCTCGAAAATAAATTTAAAAAAGTAAATATATGGTATTACGTTCATCTATTTGTGAAGAGAAAAGTTTTATAAAACTTTTTTAACATACCTTCTCTAATTTTTCATCCAAAATTTTTATTATATACTTCATTTCCAACAATAAATGCAAAGAGATTCAAACTCTCAAGAAATTTTTTTTTTTTCATGGAAAAGATATCCCCACACCTTACAGCTGGTAAGTTTAAGGGTTCGGTCTAATTACAATCTAACCTGTATATCTTCACGAAAATTATTTACCTAAATGCTCAAACCTGAAATTTGATATTTCATGAAGTATTAGGGCCCGAGTTCTCATCAGTAAACAAACCCTACGAGGTTAATCAGGTTTTTTAGTTGAGAAGGCCCATCCAATGGAGCCATGTTGTTGGGCACTGACCTAATATGGAATAACCGGCATTATTGTTATTATTATTTTTTTGTTATACTACATGATTGTAAAATTTTAAACACTCCACTATTGCTCGCACAATTTTTATTTTTCTTGTTGCTTTCAGTAAAAAAATAAATAAATAAAAAAATTAATAAAATCAATTTAGATTAGAGTTGTGTAAAAGTTTGAATTTGCTTGTTGCTGCCACTATTTGAAGTCAGTTTTTTTATTTGGGCTTCTCTCCCTCATTTTTTTGTGTATGGTTACTTTTTGGTTTTGTTTAACACTTGCTTCTATAATTCTATTTGGGTCATAACCATAATTTGGAGTATTGTTTACAGTATTGGTCGCAATATTAGTCGCAATTACGGTATATGGTATAAAAGATTCAGATAAAGTCAGCATAAATTGGCCGATACGAATCGCGTATCGACCAATATACCGTGTATCGAATGATATGACGAATCATGGTCATGACCCGGTTCTATTTTGTTATATTGTTTGATGTTTGTTTTGGTGTGATATAATTTCTTCTTCTTATAAATTAGAAAGTATATACATTAGAGTGGCTGGGCTAGGCTAAAGGCAAAGCATATTATAATTGTTCGGCTGGTTTGGGCCATTGAGTTTACCTTCCGAAAAATATATACCTTGTCTACATGATGTTCTCAACGAGATTAACGGTGAGAGCCTGAGAGGTATTTGCACTTCAACTTTGAACGGTCGAGTCTAAAGAGTATCCAACACGCTGATCCACGAACCCCCTATTGCCTAAAATCTAAAACAATATTTACAAAGAAAAAAAAAAAAAAAGTATTTAAGACATTAAACTCTAAAAATGATGGCAATAATTTTTTCAATTTGGTTACTATTTATCTATTTTTTAGTTTAAGGTCATTGTAAAGTATTTTTTTAACTTTGATCACCAAAATCTAATTTTCCTTATAAAATTTAATGTACGCAAGCATTGACTAGAGCTCTGCATAGTATGAATAAAGTTGAGTTTTAGAGTCTTTCACATCATGTTGTAGATTGTGTAATGTTTGATCTAAAATCTCATAGAGCTTATAGAGATTTGTAGGGTGTAAAAGATTTCAGAAGAGTAGATAGTTTTGTAGATGTGTAGTTTTGTAGATGTGTAGATATATTCACATATGTGTTGGAGATATATTCCCATATGTATATATGCTTTGAAGATTTGTAGGTTGTATTTTGAGAAGAGTAGAGAATTTTGTAAATTGTAAAAGATTTTAGAAAAGTGGAGAGTTTTGTAGATGCTTAGATATTTACATGTGTGTTCGAGATTACAGAGCGTTGATATGGAATAGTGGAGAGCTTGTAAGTCATTTAACATTTTAGGAGCTTAGAGAGTTTTGTAGATTGGTGGAAATTTGAGTGGAGAATTTTAAAGACTATCTTAACCATGGGTGAAACATCCAAGTCCTCCATTAAGGAGGAGAATGCTTATAAATAGGTGAGAATGTCATTAGTGAGCTCCACCCTCTAAGAGTGAGTTAGGTTAAGGTAAATACCATTGCCCATTATTTTGCAAGACTTAGGCGGTTACAGAATAGATTAAAAAAATATTAAAAGATCTTCATAATGACAATTTGGATGAGATTCAAAAAAGATTTCGAGTGGTGTGTTCGAGTACCGAGTTGTACAAAAGTGTGCAGTGTGGCCAAGTTTGAATTTATAGAATGTTACTATCACTATTAACTATTAATATAGTTAGAGTAAGGATCGTCCTAAGGGAAAAGAATCGTGTTTTGGAATCAATTGTTGGATTAGTAGGTCGAATGATCAAAAGAGAGTTTGTTGGTTGAATTATATTACAATTTAAACAAAATAAATGTAATGTAAAACAACTAAAACAAATAAGGTATAGAAAATATGAGAGAGGAGTCTTAGGTCATAGAGTTCACCACTAAGCATTACCTTCCTAGACATTCAATATTTGATGGATTAGGGAAATTGTGTGTTATAAATGAAAATGTGTGCCATTAATTGAAATATTAACATGGATGGCCAAGTAAGCATACATTGTCTAATCAATCTAGTAAATAACATAACATATCAAGCCATTAATCCTTCCATAAGTCCACAATTAATCCACACTCAACAAATTAGAGAAATATACCACTTACATCCATAAACATGGAATATCAAACAAAAAGAATGAATTGTCTACCTATCTAAGAAAGTAAGACAATTACACTGCAACTAAGCTAGTGACATGAAAGTTAAACAAATTAAACTAAAGAGGTGGCACAATCCATCAAGAAATAAGTATGAACCATCAAATAAACCACAGGAGTAATCCATTCAAGCCCCATGCCTTGACCACCACTAGATTCATAATATCAACACACATAGACATGCATCAATGTCATAAAATCTAGAGATAAACACATGAACATCCATTCTAGCATATATAGATATATGGATAGAATTAAATGATAAATTGGAAGTATTAAACTATACAAATCATGTAGAAACAAAATTTATATATATATAAGATGTCAAGACAAGAATTACAATACAAATCACCATTATTTACAAAATATCAAAGTCTATGAGACACTATCTCTAGCCCCAAGAGAATGGTTTAGCCACTCATTGATGTTATCATCCAACCCTCAAGGGCTCTCTCCATGGTAGAATTCATCATCTTCTGCTTGTGTTCTTAGTAAAACCCTAGATAAATGGAAGAACTTGCCCAAATTGTATGTTTTCTCTCTAATCTCTAGCCAAGTCTCTCTCTCTAACTCCCATTTCTTTTCTCTAAAAATAGCTAAAATCCTTATATAGGTAGTTCAAATGTCACATCCAATGGTTAGACCTCGTGCCAAGGACCTCCAAATGATTGCACCACAAGCACACATTTAATTGGGCTTGAAATCAACTTTTCATGCAATTTGAGGCAGTTCGATTGATCACATGGTTGCTCGGATCGATCGAACCATGGTGGCGCACTTTTTGGATAAGGACAAAGCTGAGATATTTTTGGAAAAAGGAAAAAAGTGATAGATGGGGATAAGATCAAAAAGGGTCGATCGATCGAATAGGAAATTTTCTTGAGGATAAGAACAAAGGGTTCATCCATCATGGCAGGGTTGGAACGATCACAGTGTGATCGATCTAGCTTGGCTCGATCGATCAGAGAAGGCTTTCTTCACCACTTTGCTTCCATTTAAATGCACATTTTTCAGCTTATCATCGAGAATGGAGTCTTGTTGGAGCTTGCGTCAAACTGTAAAATCCATGCAAACATTAAATCCCATATAACCTAGGAAGTGAGCATATTTATAATCGGAATAACATAGATAATAAAAAATATTTATGATTGTTTCACCGTAAAATGTTTTTCTAATTTTATTTTTTTATTTTTCGGTATTTGCAATAAAAAATTATTTTTCATGTAAATCATTTTACCCTAAATGATTGAAAATGACTTATCAAAAAAGTTTTCGTAAGTCATTTTCCACATGCCACTTGGGTCATCTAACCATTCTTATTCTTATTGAACCCTATGTCACTCTAATAACTAATTTTTTTCAGTCCTTCCAATCTAAAATTTTAATTTTCAATCTTTTCTCTCTCATATATAGAGAGAGTGATAGAATCGAGGAAGAAAGGAGAGAGAAAGAGGGACATAAATTTGGGTTGATCGAGTAATGGATTTAGGTCGAGAGCATTGTGGCACAGACAGAGTGGAGAGAAAAAGTAACGAGAAAGAGACAGATGATTTAGCGTAGAGAGAGAAAAAAAAAAAGTAGAGAGAGAGAGAGAGAGAGATTGTGATGGTTTAGGAGGTATTATTTTCTGTTGGTGAGGAACACTAAAGAAAAAAAGAGAGTTAATTATGCGTATTATTCTTGTTAGTGACAAATACTAAAGAAAGAGAGTTAATTATGCATAAAAGTTGATCAAAAAAATATTTTACTTATCATTGTCAAACAACAAAAAATAAAAAATAATAAGAACATTTTACATAAAAAAATATATATATATATATATATATTTTGTTTAGAAAAATATTTCACGTCCAAACAAACAAAGCTTATACTCGTGCGTAAAGTTGAACTAGAAAGATTCCAAACTAATGACCGACACCACTAATCCCGAAACCATGTAATAAGTAGTTACAATGCCAGCTGTTCATTTAGGAAGTTGATTGCTAAATTTATATTATATAAAAATAAATAAACAACGAAGCCAAAAATAATAATAATAATAATAATAATAATAATATATAAATAATCAACCAAACCTTTATAACCTGTATAAATCACAATGCAAAGTCTTTGACCTTTTAGACCTAAAGGAGAGGATAGACAGTAAGCCTTGGTGGTACTATATTAATGGAATGGTCCTCTTGTTAGTGAATGCAAATCCTTGTTGCCTTCAGCCTAACCCACCCACCCACTCAGACTCGGTGAGAACATCCTTAATTTTGCTCAAATTTTACTCATTGACCCAAATTAACTGACATTTATAATAACCTATGACTTGATTTGGTTAGTGGTAATAGCATAAAAGGAAAATAAATAATTTTTTTTTTTTTTTAAACAGTTTAAGAGTTTGGATAATAGTAAAAGAAAGTTTTGCGGGAAAACTTACCCTTCTCCTTTTTTTTTCTTTTCATTTTTTTTTTTTTCCTCTCTCTCTTTAAAATAAACTGTTTAAGAAATGATTTTTTTATGTTGCAAACCTTCCATGCGCATAAAAAGAAAATCAATTTAAGATCACTAGATATTTTCTTTTGTTCAATTTTATTAGACGATTTTTTAGATGAAATTATTATGGAATATAACTAGAGCTAGAAAATTTGAGTTAACCTCCGAGAGAGTTGATGCTTCCAAATGAATCCCAACTGAATGCATCCAATGGTGTTGGTGCATTCGAATACCAGTTCGGCTCTCGATTTGGCCAACCATTTATCTGGAAAATTACACCATCCCTCTAACACTAGGAGTCGTGATTATGGCACTATTACAGTGACATGCCAAGAAAATGAGTTCGCTGAGAATAGTACAGCTCATGACCATGACACACATATACAGTGACATGCCAAGAAAATGAATTCCATGACCTTCCAAACAAAGAAAAAATAAAGGCATCCCTTGCACCATTGTCCAAAAGAGTCAAATAACATCTTTAGATGGGTGGATGGGCAATGAAAGATACATCAACCATTCTGATTTGTTAGAGTCACAATCAAAAGGTCCACAATAATTTGGTTTCATTGACCATAATGCATTTCACACCCATCAAATATCAAATCAAGTCCATGAACTTTCAGAGGAAGGAGAGAGCAAACTTTCTCCTAGAAAGTAGGGTACTTTACTAACTTGATAATTTCCCTACTAGTTGGCCACTTTGCCTCCATCTTGTGAGGAAATTCCCTTCCCTCTGTCTTCTGAACTTCCTTCCCCATTCAGTAAAAGGAAGCACAGATACCAATTGAATTTCAAAGCAAAGAGCAATGGACACTACCAAACAATCATAAAAGAATTGAAGAAAAAGAAGTTCTAGAATCATGGAAAGGAATTTTCTTCTCTTCTAGGAACTTTCTCATTATTCAATATAATGGTGACACAACAAGGGGAACAAGAGAAGAAAAGGTACAACACACCACCAAAAGGAGCTGTTCTTTAGCTAGCATATTCATCAAATTCAAATCTCCAAGGCACATTTAAATTAATGAATAGATCTGATATCTCAATACCTTTTCTTTTAGGAGGTAAATGAAATAACACTAAGGTAAAATCTTAGTGACATTCTTTTAAAATTTGAGTTTTTGAGTTTAAAATTTATAGTGACATTATAAAAACTAACATAGTGCACAAGGATTCCATCTAAGGAGTATCTGTTGTACGTGGTCATCCTTACGTATAAAAATATTATTTTTGATTTCGAACTCGTGAAAAAAAAAAAAAAAAAACAAACAAACAAAGACTTTTTTATTTTGAAACTTGTAACCTCCATATCATGTGGTAAAAAATAAATAAATAAATACCTCCATATCACAATAGAATAGGAAATATACAAGCTTTCAAAAACAGGGGTGAAATGCTGTGCAATCCCCTCTGATTTTCTTGTACTGCGAGTAGATTAAACTTTTGCAAAAATGGCGCTTACACTCCCTGTCAAAGTTAACAGAAAATATACTTTTACTATTATACCCTTTCTTTATTTAACCCATTCCTAAAACATAGTTGATGGTATACATAAAAACTGACTTGACCCAATGAAAAACTGACATTTTATACTGAAACAAAATTATTTAATAACTTTTAAAATAAAATTTTATTTGCCCCTTTTTTGAGTTCCACGATCCAAGAATTAAGAGTCTATCCATTCAAGAATCCATTGGGGTTGCATCAATGGAGGATTGCTTGAAAAGTGAAAACCATCAAATGCATCAATGGAAGGGAGTAGGGAGCGCAGAAGGAAGAAGAGGCCGGCTGGTGTAGAGAGAAAAAGTTAGAGAGAGGTGGGAGTGGGGAGCTGCTAGCTGCCTCTTACGATTGCAATAAACTCGGCGTGTTCGAATAACTGCGCTCCGTGGGTTTTTTTTATGCCGTTTTTGTTTTTATTCGGCTAAATCTGCTCTTATTTGTTTTGTTTTCGGCTCATTTGGGCAAATTTGTTATTTTTTTCGGGTTAGATCTCTGATCTAGGCCGGTTTTGGGTTTTTTGCTGCTTAGATTTGATCATTTTCTCCTTGATTGGATCTTGTGCAGGGTTTTGTGTATCGGAGCGCCTTGTGGTTGTAGCTTTGGAGCGGTTGCCGTGCTTAGGCCTAATCACGGTTCGGATCGGTTCGGTTTGGGGCTAAAGATCAAGCCAAACCGGTCTCTACGGATTGGTGTAAACTGAAACCGAACCGATTCGTGGAGGCCTTCAATCCGAACTAAACCAATCCGTGAAGTAACGGATCGGATCGGATCGGTTTCTACGGATTGTTGTTAGGGTTTTGAGCTTGATCTCTGGTGGTTTGGCTCTTCTTCCATTTTTTTTTCTTCTTCATAAACTCGCACTACAGCATGCGAGATCATCATTGTTGACGCCATCAAAACCGTTGATTCAGCCTACCAAATCAGATCGCGTTTGTGTGCGTATATATATACACTGCTATGACGAAGGCCTGTAGATTCAATCACGTGAATAGATTGTTGGAATCAGAGAAATGGATTCGAATTAGTCAAAAATTAACTCTGAGATTAACAAACAACTAAAAGAGGCTGGGCCGTTTTTTTAGTTTTTTTTTTTAAGAAATTGAAATTATTTAAGTGTTAATCTTTGTATCAAAATTGAGCAATTGAAAAGAAAATAGAAAGCAGAAAATTGGACGAAAAAGACGCATCTGATAAGATAGTTTACCTTCACAAACTCAATTGTTGGTGTTTTTTACTCCATCACCGGAAAAGAGGTAGAAACAGAGGTCGCCGTTGTTTCAAATTTGGTGAACAATGGATTGAGAGATGTTGGATTGAGAGGCTATTGTGAGGCGAGAGATTGGAAGGCGAGAGGAGGAAGACAGAGGCCAAGAGAACTAGAGAAGGGGGTGAAGACTGAAGAGAAGAGGGCTGAGGGAGTGGGGAGGCACGACTGAAATGAGATAAGAGATGAGAGATGTATTTGGGAGCTAGGGTTAGGTTACAAGAATAATGAATAAAAAAAAATACGGCATATTCAATGTTGTGTATATATATATATATATATATATATATATATTATTTATTTAACGGTTCGGTTCGGATTGATTAACGGTTTGGATTGATAACGGATTGGTTAACGGTTCGGATCGGTTTTTTCAAGGTCCAATCCGTTAACCAAACCATGAATACTAGATTACAAATTTTCTAAACCATCACCGAACCATGAGATCTAAAAACCGAACCGAACCACACGGATCGGATTGGTTCGGACTGGATTGATGGATTATTTGCTCACCCCTAGCCGTGCTGATGGTCAGACCTTTCGGTCTCTCCAGTTTGCTGCTTTTTTCCATGGTGGTTCCGTTTGCAGAGTGTTGGGCTCAGTTTCCTCCACAAATCTGGAGCCTTTTCGTCATTTATTTGCTTTGCTTTAAGATTTGTATGTCTTTTCTAGCTTGGCTTTATACCTCTGTACTGCCATTGTTCTTCATTTATTTACTTTACTTCAAGATTTGTATGATTTTTCTGGCTTGGCTTTATGTCTGTGTATTGTCATTTTAGCTTTAGGCCTTTGAGCCTTTAAATGACCAAAAAAATGCAATGTTAATGGTGGACCATGTGTATTCACAGTCAAAGAAAGAAAATAGAATTTCGAGAGGTCTTAGACAAATTTTCAAATGCGAGACCCTTTATACATAAGATTTCATTTTCACATGAGTAAAAAATTTATATGAGTGCAAAATTTACATTAAAATAAGACGATAAGCACATAAAATATATTAAGGTTGAAAAAACACAAAGCAAAAATCGGTTTTTGTGCATTATAAAGAGCACAATTCAATTTACATTACAAAAATTTAATATATTCAACACAACTTAGTCACAAAAATCAAATTTAACTTCATATCAAAGTAAATGTAATCGTCTTACATTTTGAGATACAAAATTATAAATTAAGTACCCTAATCACTATCATAATTTTGTTATATGAACTGGACTGAGTTAAAAATATGACAGAAGATTGCATTCATAAGTTAAAATTTTGGTTATTTGAACTGGGCTCAACTATCATGCATGCACGTGGGCACAAAACTAATATAATAACAAAACAAATTAATTTCTTATTTAAATATAAAAAAGTCATTTTTTCTTTTGAAGGAAAGGGATAAAAACAAATTATTTTTACCATAGAAATTATTGTATTATATATATAAATTAATATTATAAGTACATGTTTATTGTCAAAAAAAATTTATTGAAAGTTATTTATTGCCATAAATTTACATTATAGATGATTGTGTATTATCTTTTAATTATGAAAATTATGACCTAAAATGGATGTCTTTTAATTAATTAAAAGGCTAGTTACGTTCAATTACGAGAAGTAGTGATATTCATACATATATTACTCCATCTATCCCAAAAAAAGATGTCGCGTTTGAGAACCGTAACATCCTTTTTGAATTAGAGGTAGTACCATATATTACATTATGGTACTTAAATTTGAGACTCTTCCAAATTAGAGGCCCTAGGCGACCACCTTGGTTGCTACGAGAGAGGAAGGCCTAAAGTTAAATGTGTTTCTAGATTTAGAGGTGAAGGAACGTGGTGGACTGGGGTGGACTGGAAAACCTGGTTACATGCACTGTGCAGTGTCCAGGGTGGTGAAGGAATGGAAGTTGCGATGTTGGTTGTGGACGGATGGTGATCTAGATATACACAGTTTGATAAAGAAGTATACTTAATACAAAGCATGGTTCGTAATTGTGGTTACAATCGCATTATAATAGATTCAAACAAAATCAATCACATATCAAACTTAAAAAACAGGTCTCGTATTAATGGATATGACAAACCATGATACAGATTATAGAGTAGTCAATATATATTATGTGTATAAGAAACTAATTTTAATTAGCAGAAGTCACTGAAGCATGCTTGATTTAATTTTTTCTGATTGAAGACAATAATTTTCAAAATAATTAACTTTTAACATGATTGACGGTCAACTATAACTAGGTTTAGGCAATAAAGGCCAACTTAAAAAGTATCAGAGCATTTAAATACGCTTAAAAAAAAAAAAAAAAAAAAAAAAAAAAAAAAAAAAAACCCCTATTTTTTATTTTGAACTTCCATATCACCAAAGAATAGGATTTCCGTTACGCCAAGGCACACCACACCCATGACCCCAAAAAAAAAAAATTCTTAACAAACGTGAATTTCAAATATCTCAATACATCCATACACTTTATTATTTGAACAGAAGTATATTAACTCTCTCAAATCCATTCGTTTTAAGATTTTACATAATTAGGTCTAACAACAGTAATTAAAAACCCTTCAACCCATATGAAATCTTTACATATTTACTAAAAAAACAATAAAATCCTTAAAAGGAGTTATCTTCCGCCCTCTTTGCCGAGCCAGGTCCCCCCTCCTGGGGTATTGACCCATTGATGTCTTGGAAGTGGCCATTGAAACCGTAAATATGTAATTCATGGACAAGCTTTATAGATTTCTTTTCCTCTATATTTTTCAGGGGAATTGTGGTGGAAATATGCCTTTCATGTTTTCCCTCTCTAGTAGAAATTGGATTTCCACAACTTGGAAGGAAACTCTATATTCCTCTCAGTTTCTACCTTTCTGCAAAAGGAGAAACATACACCAATTGAAGACCAAAATGACCACCACAACCAATCAAAACAGAAGATTAAAAAAATTGAAGAGAAACAAGCCCTAGATTCACAGAAGTTGTATTACTCTTTAGGAGCTTTCTCATTAGTCATCAGTATGATGTAAAAACACCAACAGAAAACAATAAAAGGGAAGGAAGATCTTCACCACCAACCACCAAAACGGAGTAATTGTAAAGCACACCCAACAAACTCAAACCTTATATGTATATATATAAACCTAAATTGGATTTTCACCTTCTCCTCCTCCTCCTTGGACAATATCACAGATTTACCTCCCTTTTTTTTTTTTTTGGTTAGAAAATATATATTTCTTTTTCTTTGGAGGGTTGATCTGATTAACCAGCTACCACTGTGCCTGTATGGAAGGGGTACTCTGTAGTTGTTTGGGGAGGATTGGATTTTTTCTGGTCTTTTCTCAATAATTTCTTGGAAGCAGATAGGTTCCAATTCTTCTCTTTGGCTTCATCTATCTCTATCTGCTCTTGTCTGCACTCTTCACTACAGAATGGAGTGTCTCCTCTGCAAAATCATAAACCATATAAATCAATACCCAAATCGCATATCACAATATCTACAAAATAGTTTTGTTTCAATGACCATAGAACAATAAGTTTCAATATCATTGGCCGAAAGAAAGAAAAAATGAACGTTTGGTTGCTCGGAAAAGTTGGGAAAATATTTAGGATCTTTTATTATTTTCATGATTTAGATCCTCAAATGACAACTCTTTCTCGATAATAACATTTTAATTTAAATGACCAGCCCAAAAAAGAAGGAACTTTGATGAGTCTTCTCTCTTTAAACTTCCAAATTTGATCATTTTCTTTTCCTCAGCAATCTCGTCAACCAAACAGAGTAAAAATCAAAACTGAAATGCAAATCTTATGTACTTTCGGCCAGTTACTCTATTTTATTAGATATTGAAAAATAGTCCATGCCCTTTTTAGCAAAGCTACATAAATAAAGAAGGAAATAGGAATTCCGCTTCCTCAAATCAGACAAAGTTCCCAGAAAATAACAGTACTTTCCCGGAATATTCGTCATTCCCATCAATATCAAACAAAGCAAAGCAAATCAAAATTGCGCTCGTTGGAAAAAAAAAAAAAATGGGTTTTTTAGTTCAGTTATAAGACGATGAAGAACATGAGAAAAATCAAAAACAAAAACAAAAACTAACCTGTACATGAAGATGTCTCTGTTACCACCAAGAGGTTTGTTGCAGAGAGAACAGGCTTCTAAGAAATGGGGTTGGTGTTCTTCATATAATCTGCCATCACATAGCCTCCCAGGTCTCGGAGAAGAGACAGATGAAAAACCAGAGAGACTCCTAATACTACCACTTCGCTGCAACTGTGAAGCACTGTAAAACAGAGGCCTAGAGAAGAAATGGTGGTGGTGATTGTTTCCCGAGAAACCAGCTTCTGAATCTGTAAGAGAGGCCAAACCACCGTCTTCTTCAATGAAACAAGGCCTTCTTGCGACTGTATTGTCCATGAGTGCTTGCTCACTGATGTGGGTTCCTTAGAGAGAGAGATTATAGAGAGACAAAGTCTGAGATTGGTGTGAAGGAAGGAAGGAGGTAAGTGGTGGGTTATAAAGAGGGTTTGGTAGAGAGAAACCACAGGCGGTGCTCTCTTTAGTTGTAGTACCAGTGTAGATACAAATTTTAATGTAGTTACCACTGATGTTTGATTTTTTTACGATAATACCAATCAAGGATAGGGCCACTATGTTTATTTGTGATGTGAGTATGGGGTGTTTTGGTAATTAACCAAATCGAAGGAATTCGTGGGATGGTAACGTAAACATTGTACCGGAAGAAACTATAAATTCCACACGCTCCTTGAAAGCGCGTATATGTGACAATGTCACCGTCATAGGGACCACTCTACTACGCTTTGGTCTAGTCTATAGTTCACTATTATTGGTGATCTTTTTCAACTCCAATGAGTGTTGGTTTGAAAAATATATTTTTTAATAATTATTCAATTATTTGATTTACTTAATGCTCATATTTTGCATCAATTAAGCAATTTAAGCTGCATAAATATCAAGCAGATCTTTTATAACGCTTGAATAGATTGATGGATTTGAAAAGGATAGAACAAGAGGGTGAGACTTTAATTTAAAATTTGTAGCCAATTATTTTGAAACGAAAAAAATATATATATAATAAAATTATTTTGAATTATCCATGCCTATTAGCATTTTGGATTATTAGTATTTACAATTCTGCGCTTGCCTATTGCAAATGTGTCAAAGGGCAAACAAAATCTCAATGAGAAATGAAATTGAATTAGGTCAAACCGTGAGAGGTCTTGACTTACTTGAATAACTAACTTATGTTCAATAATTAAGCCCAATGAACCTATACAATATATACTAACTCGAGTGAAAAATAATAATAAAATAAAATACTAATTCGAACATGAACACATTTACTTGATGAGTTAAGTGTTTTATCAATTAAGTCACTGAATAATATTTATGCATAATATATATTAATTTGAAAGTCTCATTCTTAATTTGAAAGGGTTGGAGCAAACTATTAACTTATATTTTATATAATATAACTTTCTTCCCTTTCTCCCAATTTAGTTGCCTATTTTTATTTTTTGAAATGTCTTGAAATACTTGGTCACTTATAAAATTCAAATAAAATATTTCATATCATTCTGTACATACCTTGAAGTTTAAAAAAAATTCAAACTTGATTTTATATATTATAATTTTAAATTAAAATAATGCATTAATAATATGTCTATTTAAAAAGTTATATCTCAAAAAATAATATCTATTATGCAACAAAGGGAGTATATATTTAAATAATAGTTATATTGGTAACTAAATGATAATCAAAAAGATTATAAATAACTTTATCATATTTTTATAGAAAATGATATACTTATCTACTCTATATTATTGACTATATAACCGAGCTAATAAAAAAATTAGTGATAGAAATAAATACTTAAAAATAAAATTTTATTACTTTTAAAAACTAATAAAAATCTTAATTGAGCTCTATTTATTACGAATAAATACAAAAATCGAATTTTTTTTTTTTGTAGCATTACTCTATTTTAAAAACAAAAATAGAATCAAAGTAGAGAAAAAATCAAACAAAAATTGATCAATTTGGTCCCATCAAATTTTAACTAATGCGTCTAGTCTGTCCATGTCGCGGTAGAGGGATTTCCAATTGCAAGGACCACCCATGGGACCATCCGGTAGACCAGCAGTCATTTTATTTCTCGCGCGTTAATTTCACGGCACTAAATGCACCTAAGAAGGAAACCACCGGTAACCCCAACGACCCACCGTTTCTCGTCCCCGCTAACTAACGCCTCCCCCACTCTCAGAAACAATCCGCTAACGTCACTCGGGTCGGGGCCCACCTCTCAGCGGGATACTTGTGTCGTTTACTTCGCCACTACACAAAAAAAAACTTCGACTTTATGTAGACCGGCCAGGTCCACCCCCAAAAAAAACGAAAAGTGGACCCTACGTACTTCATGCCCCTTCATCTTCATTCAAACCGTGATATTTACATCTACAGAAATATATATATATTATATATATATATATGTGGGGGTGCTTTTGTCATTTTATATGCGCTCGCGTTCCGAGGTTTTTGTTTCCCCACCCACTACCTCTGACCGTGGATCCCTGTCTGCCCATGCAGGCCCCGCTACCAGACTATCTCTGTGCTACCGTACACGTGTAAACTTTTCCTTCGTCCACCGCAACACCTAGTTCTATGGGTTTGATGCCACGTGACACCTAATGGGGACGCCTTCAATAACGTCACGCAGAGCAACCAACTATTTAAAAATCCTCTCCATACACACTTTGCCACGATGGTACATAATGCCACTCTTTTCATCACTTATTTATTTAGTATTTGTTTTTTTAGTATTTTTTTTATATATATAAAAAATCAAATAAACTATATTTAATCAACAGTTTTAACCTTTAAAAAGAGAGGTTAATTTCATTACATAATTGCATCCACTATTTCTTTTTAAAAAGAGTGATTAATTTCATCATTACATTCACTATCAAAAGATGGTGGAATTTAATATCTCAAAAGAGAAAAAGTAAATTCGAAATATAAAATATTATTTTACACCGCTTACCTGCCAAAGTAATATTTGGATCATCATCTTCTAAGTAATAATAGATGAGAATTTTAATTTGCATAATTAAATGCTAAAGTAGTATTTGTATCATGATCAAGTGAATTTTATATGTGTTTATTGAATAGATATTAGATGCTTATGTCATTGATATATTAATTAATAAAAAAAATTATAATAATCAATTGAGAGCACAAGTTGTGAAGTGTAAGTCACAAATCTTGGAAAAAAAAAAAAAAAAACAAAGCCACATATCAATTTTATAACAACTTAACTTGTGATAACATATTACTTTTAATTACAATCTAACTTAAAAGAGTGAAATTCTTCTCCACTAATTTATACATTGATTGTTATGACAAAAGTTTAAACCTTGTTATTAGTTAAAATAAAAATAATGTTGTTGTTTAACAATTGTATAAAAAAAAAAAAAAAATTGAAAAAAAAAAAAACAATTAAAAGTTAAAGGGCTAAGACATTAGATTATTTTAAAAAATAAAAAGAACCTTTGGCAATTGGCATTCCATTTCTATAATACCAATGCATATATATATATATATATATATCATACAAGTACTTCAACAATGTCATCGGCACAAGTGTGTTCCCCAATCACTCAGCATGTTTTGGAACTTGAAACCTCCTCCTTCATTCCCATGCTTTTTCTCGCTTCAGCTTTACTTTTATTTATTAAATAAGATTCTTTTCTTTCTTTGCAGCCTTGTAGCCATTTTAGGTGGTATCTAGAGCAACTTGCTTTTGTCTTCACTAATCTGCTAAAAGCATCAATTAATTATATTAAATTATTAACTTACTTTAATTATTTGATTCTGTCTTGAAGTTTCTAGATTCTGATCGTCAGCAGGCTGACACGCGTGTGGACCAGAATGGCACACGTGTCTATATTCAGTTTTACCTAATAAAACATAGTGTCACGTGTGCCAATTAGCATTCGATGACGGATTAAACTAAAATAAATTAGCATTTGATGAAATCTAAGAATCTTGTGGACATTTGTTTTGTTTTTGGAAAACCTAAGCATGGCATTATATGCACATTCTAGAAAGTAAAAATGGGTCCCACACCCACTATGGAAGTTCTTTGGGCTATTTTTTTGGTTGGTTTTTACCGTCCACTTATTTATTTTTATCTTCGGTAAATGTCACTCAATTTACCAAAGCTATTTTGTAGGTAGTAATTATTTAATACTAGTATTAGTTAGTAGTTAACAAGAAATTTTGCTAAAACCTTTTTGACATTATAATCAAATTAATCCCCTAAGATACATTTTTGTTGACAAACTTGTCACTCCCAAATTGTCAAAGATGTCATTAGCAATGTAAAACTTTACAAAAATCTCATTATTACTTTCAAATGGAGAATGATTTTTTAAGTAATGGTTTGAGTCGATTTCAATTTTAACTAAAAAAGAGTAAATAGTTCCATACTTCAGTGCAATCAGTGGGTCATACTTTGAATACTTCTGAATATGTGTTCCATATACTTTTTAAATGTATGTATCACTTTAAATTTTATTTTTTAATTTCTAACATATATCTAATACTTTTTAGATACTTTAATTACGTATATGATACTTTTTAGATACTTCAAAACATATTTTAAACAAGTTTTGATTCTTTAAACCTTAAAATGTAACTTCTCCAACAATAATATAATAACATAATTAAAAAAAAAAATTCAAAATATATCAAGTAATGACTATCTTATTTAGGGATACTTGTTTTATGTTTTGTAAAACGAACTCCTATCTTATATTAGTAATTATATTTAGATTCATAATATATATATATATATATATTCATAATTGATACTCACACGCATATTTTCATGGAGGCTTGAACCCTTGACATTCCTTTAGAAAGTAAGGGTCTGATACCGCTAGGGCACCCGTTAATATAATATTTTTAAAAAATGGCCAACAATTAAAATTTTAATATATATATATTGTTGTCGCTTCATATTCATACTTATTCTATTTTTTTTTGAGATTTGTCGATTTGTCGATTTGTCGTTATTGCCGTATCAGTATTATATTATATTCATATCCTGTACCCATACAGTACTTCTTAGACATAATTTGAAATCTTTTACCCGGCTAAATGAGCCCAAAACAACCTACATTAGGTTGGTCTGACTTAGAAAAATGGCCTATATATCAATGCCACTTTTCAAAATTTACCCAAAAATCAACCCAGTGTCACATTTCTTCTTGAATTTCATTTCTCATTTTGAATTCAATGCTTTGCTTGAAGTTGAAGGCATTCACAAATGGTCGGTGATGACAATAATAGAGAGTGTTGAAGATGTTTGTCCCATGAAAGAAACAGAGAAACCCATAACTCTGTTGTCCTACCATCCAGCTGGTTTAGTCTATTAATGGGCTATATTGAAGAATTTAATGAGATTGGTTTTTAAATTTCCCATCCCACTCTTTTCTGGCAGTACTGTCACTGAGATCAGAGAGTAATTCTGAGAAATTAGCTGTTAAGAATGATTTGGTTTCAAAATATCTCCAAATAGTTCGGTTTGGTTCGGTTTCATTAGACCTACAATTCGATTTAGTTTTAATTTTTATAAAACTATTAAGAACAATTTGGTTCCAACTTACTCCAAAATAGGTCCAATCCGATCCTATGCACCCGTGAATAGCCCTTATTCCCATTGAAGATTCTGGGCTGTTATAAAGGGCCTTAGGCCTTGATATTAAGATGGGCCTGGTTGTTTCAAAATACAAGATTTACTCTTCAGAATTGGGCCTGCTAAAATAATCACACATTATCTATTCTAGCAACCAAAAAGATTTATGGTGCAAATTATAATCAGGCCATTGCTTGTTAAAAGTTAAGATGGTGTCCTATATTCTCTGTTAATGGCCCATCCAAAACTAGGCTATTTTAGTTTCCATTCTTTCAAAGAATTTGTTAGATGGTCCAAGACCACTAACATTTGATGGTCCAATTCAATTCAAATTGTCTAATTTTAAAAAAGTAGAGTGTATTATATTACAAAGAAATATGAACGTTAATTTTGATTGGACTTGATCACCAAGTAGCAGAAGAACCATCTAATAATTTCTCCATGATAGACGTTTGTAGATTTGTAATTTTAAGGAGATAGAATAGGTTAGTCAAATATCAAACTTGAGAAGAACATGTCATGTATTTCTTACTAGAGACTAAAAGAAACTAACGTAGAAAGTAGAAAGTGAAAATGAAAGAAAGTGACGTGAATAAAATAAAAGTCAATTTTCTAGCCAGCATTAGTTATAATAAAAAATTTTAAAAATGAGGGAGAGAGCCATTTAGTAGTTGGAAACTTGGAATAGCATGAAAGTTGTAAGAAAATATTGTGAATTACCTAACTTGTCATTATTTTTATTAAACATGATAATCAGGTCTACATAAATTTGTATCGAATAATTATTGTCTTTTGCAAAAAATAAAAGCCATAGATACATAATTTTGTGGCACATAACACGAAATATATGGACCATCATACCATTCTTATAAAAAAAAATTGTGAATAAACACATTTTATTCTAGAAAAATTAAATTGGTGTAATTGTAAGTTCACTTAATTTTGTAAAGAAAGTAAATATATATATATATTTGAAGATAAAAAAAATTATGAAAATTTTAAGTGGTTGTGGAAAGTAAATTTTTCTCAAAATACTCATTTTTCTTCTATTTGAACTATTTAAATGATAATTACTAACAGGTCAGTGGTCTAACGGTATTAGGCTCTTACTTTTCAAATGGAGATCAAGGGTTCAAGGCTTCAAACTTTCATGAAGGCATGTGTGTGTGATTACTAACTAAAAAAAATAAATGATAATTAAAAAAATAAAAATAAAAATTTTCTGCTATTTCTGTTTAACCAAAGAGAGCTCAAAGAATTATTGTAATGGAAAGTGGTTGGCATTTTTTGGGCTTTGGCATGTGGCAGAAGGGACCATGTCCACCAGAAGGGGGAGACACCCTTGGACTAAAAGAATGTGTAGATTTGCAACTCACTCCCAAATTGCCCTAACTACACTGCATTGAGTGAAGCCCAAGATAAAGATAAAGCCACAGAACATTCATGGTTAAATTTTATTTTTATTCGCACTAGCACCTCCTCTCAAAAGTATCACAAAATGCCTTGACCTATTGGGATGAAGATGCCAAAAGTACAAATAATTATTATTAATGATAAAATTATGTTTGGATGTACTGATTGTTGCATTGAAATTTGTTTTTTTTTTTTCAAAAGATTGCATTGAAATTTGTTCTCAAGAAATTTAGTTTAAAGTTTAAATTAATTTTTTTTTTAAATTTTAATTTCAATTTCGAGATACCAATTTGTATCCTCAAACGCAACAAAAAGATAAAATTTAAAAAACAGTTCTTCAGAACTCATAAAACATAACCACACAACCGCTGCACTAATGCATCATGCAATACTATTCCTAAATCTTGTGTCTCGCACATGACTAATTAATTATATTAAATACCAAAAATACCCTTCCTTGACTGAATTTTTTGCTATTTTTTAACTAAAATTTTACATTAACTTAATTTTGTTTACTATTTTTGACTATTTAAATACCAAAAATGCCCTTCTTTAACTCAATTTGTTTAATAAAGGCCATAATAGTCATTTTACATTAACTAAATTTTTTACTATTTTTTTTTAAATTGTAGAAAAGACATTTTAGTATTTTTATACTTCATTATTGGTCGAATGAGGAGGTCCTTATTCACCCCTAAATTAAACGTTAGGGGTCATCATAACCTATACGAAGTTATAAGAGCTATATGCGTACTACTCACAACCCGAAGTCAACATTTAAAATGGGCCGGAGGTAGTATTAATTATTAAATGCTTGTGACTCTCTCTCTCTCTCTCTCTCTCTCTCTCTCTATATATATATATATATAATTTACTTTTTCTTTTTCTCTTTCTTGTCAAATGTGATGACTTATAGATGGGACAAGTATTACTCCCTCCGTCCCATAATAGTAGTCCATTTTTCCTTTTTAAATGTCCCAAATTAGTTGTCCTCTTTGAAAAGTCAAAGTATCTTTTCTTTATATTTTTATCATTGTATTTTATCTTTTTAAAAAATTTCAAACTTTGTAACTATACATATAAAATTGAAAAGGACAATTTGATGATTTTAAAAAGAGACAATGCATTAATTGCATGTTCCCTTAAAAACTTCAATTTCTAAAGATGGGCATCTATTATGAGACGGATGAAGTAATTCGTAAAATCTTTTTTAGGGGAGTTTGATAATTTCATTTCCCAAAAGATCATGTTCATGATTTAGATTCATGCACATATCACACATGTTACAACTCAGGAGGAGGATTGTGTATCCACCTTTGTCACAGGAGTTTGATAAATCCATTTCCCAAAAGATTATGTTCATGGTTTAGATTCATGCACATATCACACATGTTACAACTCAGAAGGAGGATTGTGCATCCACCTTTTGGAACATATAGCTCCTCTTTTTCACATTCTTATACACGTACGTAATATATATTCACACTCATAAATATAATTTTGGCTGACAAGAATAATAATAATTAAAAATTTGCTTCTTACCTAACAAATTTGATAGGCATGACGAGAAAAAGGCCAAAAATATGTACCAAAGAACATGCATGTAAACAATGTGTCAATGACTAGACTAGCCAGAAAAAAAAAATTGTTGGCAATAATCAGTTATAGAAATACATTTTGAGATTGACATTTCATGACTCTGTTTTGTCAAATTGCCATCTACTGCACATCATATCAAATGCCCCTCTCATAAAGTTAATGCCATTATTGGTTTTATTACGTCTTAGCAGTGTTTGGTTGCCAAGATTTAATGGGAAAGAAGAAAGGAAAAAAACAGTGACAGTACCTCAAAGGTCATGTATCAGAATATTACTAGATGCTCATTTGTATAACAATTGTGCAGACCATGTGAGCTAGAATTTAAAACTTGGATTACTAGTAAACTGGTTGTTATATGTATAAAATGTATATTTATGTTACTGTTTGTTTCATTGATTTGGTCAAACTAAGCAAGTATTAAAAATGTATATATTTTTTCTCTTTTTTCTGCAACTTAGCAAGTATTTAATTGGTTATATTTGTGCCATTCATTCATGTAGTAATCTTACAGATCTGTATGAAAATGATTATATATATGATTTAAATCCAAAACAGAGAAGGAATCATTAGGCATTATTTAAGAAGAAAATTAAGGGGCTGTTTGGATGACAGAGAGGCCTCAACCAATTATGATCCTGCCTAAAATGCAATGATCTTAGTCTTCTTGACAGTTCTTTCTGCTTTTACTTCACTTCAGTTCCATGGGCCACATGGTTCTATTGTACAACTACTTACATGCCCCCCCTAAATACTCGCGGTGTTGTACAACATGAGTTGTGTACTGCATCAGACTGTTTACAATATATATGTGACTGCGGAATCATACCCGTGTGTTGTAAACTGTTTAATATAGTACAGTGCAGTGTTGTATTGTAAAGACACTATAGGTTTTTTTTTTTTATTTTTTTTAAATATTTAAAATTAAAATTGAAAACAATTATGGAAAAAGTTATTGGATTTTGGGACGTATAATTGAATTTTGGGATGTATAATTAAACCCTAGATGTGTATGATTTGGTTTCTCCATTGGCCAAACAAACAAGGCATGATGTTGTGGCTTCTTTGGACAGTGTGGTGTTATGAGCATGTGATCACCGGTAGATTCCAGCTTATCTGCAAGGTAAAGCAGTTTGATGCTTGTATAATACAATGTATCCACACATGCTTCTCATTCAATCTATTCTTGGTGGAGCAACTCTTGTCTTGGCTTGACTCTGTTTGTTTGTGTAGTCTAACAGGTCTAGGTCAAAAAATGTAAAAAATATACTGTATATAGGTGTGTGTATATATATTTAAAACTGACAACCTATCAATGTGATGGTTCTCAAAAATCAAATAAAGTAAAAATAGAATTGGGTTTTTTTTGGTTCTTTTCTTAGCCTGAAATGACAACTCATTTGACTGAACTGCAGTCACATAAATTAATGAAATCCGTGTAGACCTTACAACCATTAATTATTATAATATTAGCATACTAAACAGAATAAAAATATAGAAAGGTAAAGTAATTACTGATAAAATAAAAGAATTTATACATGAAATGAAATTTTTTTTTTTAAATAGCAAAACAAAAACAAAAATCAATGCAATTACCCATGTACAATACCTCATAAAAATGGGATGAAAAAAGAAAAAATACCATTAGGACACAAAATTTAAGTCTTAGAAAGAAACCTTAAAGGAGGAGGGGGAAAAAAAAAATGTGACATGATTTTATTATATTCAAATTTGTTTAATTTTCTTCTATACTTATTTTGTTTTCACAATTTGTTTTTTTTTTTTTTCTTTCAAACTTTGTTATGCTCTACATGGGCCAGTGGGCCAACACCTCATGGTTTTGGCAGAAACTGGACTGAGAACATGGGCCCGGGTCCATTAGGAAAGAAAGACTTGAACACTAGAGTTTCTAAAGGAGAGACAACGTGGGCAAGTTTGAATCACGGCGTCACATTCCGTACAGAGGCAAAGATGCCGACACGGCAAAACCACCACCGAGGCGACTCGCTTCCGACACGCCTTGCAACTCGGCCCAGCCCACTCTACCACTCGGTCCGGGTCAACGTACCCCGACTCGGCATCCTCCGCCCCCTGCCCCTCTACGCCCCCGGAGCAACCTATCCCCTCCTGCCCCCCGCAGCCGCCGCCGCTCATTATCATCGCCTGCTGCAGCTGGGCCTCCAGTGCCGCCGCAGCCGCCGCCTCCGCCCTCGCCTTCGCCTCCCACACCCTCGCGTCCGCGCTCAGCTGCGCCACCCGCGCCTCCAGCTCCGCGTTCCGCCGCGCCGCTCTCCCCACCTCCGCCTCCTTCTCCCTCAGCCTCCGAGCCAACGATTCCTCCGCCGCGCTCAGCAGCGCACCGTAGTGCCTCTGCCTCTTCTCCGCTAAAGTGCGCCTCATCTGCTCTCCCTGATACAATAAACACACACACATATAGATTCATACACACACATTGAAAATGAAAAATTCAAGGAACCCATTTACCAGAGAGAAAAATCAGTACCTGGGTTTGAATGAAATGTTCGATTTCGTTCCGCTGATTTCTGATTTGGGTTTCCATATCTTGTGAGAGGAGTGATGATACGACTGATGATGATTGAGGAGAGAGAGTTTGTTGACGGTGTTGATGCTGCAATTGTTGTTGTTGTTGATGTTGATCTCCGAAAGCTAATCGGAGGTTGAGACCAGTAGAGACTACATTGGGTTGGTTCGTGTGAAGCTGATTGAGTTCTATGAGCTGTTGTGTAGACGACTCTGGTAATTGCATAGAGAATGGATTCATAGCCACAATTTCTCTTCCTCTCTTCCGATAATTAGTCCCTACTCATGATAAAGAAGACGACCCAATTCAAGAATTAATATTCATGAATATGAGTGTAATCGCAAAAATATGATATATATATATATATAAACTCACCTCCATTGTTGAATAAAATTGTGGATTGATCATTAAATCCTCCTCCTCCTCCTCCTCCTCCACCTGGTTGTGGTTGTAATGAATAGTCGTTTCCAATTGAATAAAGAACATTTGATGGGTATTGAGCTTGAACGGCCATATTGTTGTTGTGTAGATGATATGATTATATATATATATATATATATATATATATATATATATAAAGAGAGAGAGGAGAGAGATGAATGGGGTTATAAAAAGAAAGAAATGGGAGTTGAAAATGAGCTGATGAGGATAAAGAAAATTAATGCTCAACACATAAAATGCATGAAAGAGAACATGTCCCAAGGCGGACTCTTCAATGAGGGGGAAAAAAATGAGACGGTTAGAGAGAGAGAGTTAATTCTAGAGAGAGAGGGGGGGGGGGGGGGGGGGTGGAGTTCTGAGAGAATGGAAAGCAAAAGAAAGAAATATATTTGATGAGAGAGAGGCCACCACGATCGACTTACACCACCATCTTTGTCTTCTCACTTTGCTCAATTCCACCTACTACTACTACTTTTCTTTTGTTTGCCAGCCTAAGCTTATGCGTACGTTTGGAAAGAGAAAGCAAAGAGACGATGCTATACTGAAGAGAGAGACAATCCAAGAGACACCTTATTCTCTTCTCTCTCTCTCTTACTCCTCGCGAGGGAATGGAAATGCCTTTTCTAGTAGTTTTCTTTTGGAACTAACTTCGGCTGAATATAAGCCATTTAATTACTACTATATATTTTAGTGGTTAATGGTTATATACTTATATATTTAAATAAATTATATATATATATAGAGAGAGAGAATCAATAAGGTAGAAGAGGGGTTGGGGTTGGGTGGTTTGTTTGGCGTGCAAAAGGTCTCTGCGGCTCGGACGGTTGTATATGGCCCATGCGTCTTTAGCCAGATTTGCCTGCCTCTCTCTCTCTCTCTCTCTCTCTCTCTCTCTCTACAAATTTTTTTTTTTTTTTTTTTTGGGGCACTATACAAATTTTATAAATAGAGCACTTTCCATAATTTAAAAGACAATGCTGCCCTACTTGCGTCAACAAAGAGAGGACCTATTGAAGATGCCCACTCAAGCTAAGTTATGCAAAATTGGAGGTTAAGTCACATAATTTTTATCTCTCACTTTTTTTTAGTTTTTTATTTTTTTTCCTAGTTAGTACTAACTCACACACACACCTTTAGTGAACTCAAACCCTTGACCTCTTTCTAAAAAATAAGAACTTGATATTGTTAGATTATTGGCCTGTTGGTGATCCAACGCTTTTCAAACTAATATTAATCATCAAAAGTTATATTCCCTCTTTCCCAATTTAAGTGTAGCTCTTATAGATAGTAGTAATTTTTAAAAGGACATATGGGACATACATTGTCTCCCTGAAGAGTTAGTAACTTAGTCCTTTTAAGTTTTAAATATTGAAGTTTGAAATTTTAAACTCAAAGGACATATATAGAAGGATGTGAAATATATTTTTTGAAAAAAGAAAGTGAACTATTATTTTGAGACATACAAAAAATAAGAATATGACACTTATTTTGGGACAGAAAAAAAAAAAAGGGTCAAGAATTTAAGTCTATAATCACAATTGAACGTTTGAATTTCTTAATATGATTAATAAATAAAAATAACACTTTTGAAAAAAATATTGATCTTTTACTTGATTTTGGGGATTCAAACTCTTGAATAGCCATGCTTTCATGAGTTCTCATTTCTTATCTTAGAAAATAAACAAGAGACTAAGAATACATTCGACCTAATTACATGGTCGTTGGTTCTTTTCCTTCTCACAAAGTCAGTGTTTCTGATGAAAAAAATTTCTATGACCATGTCAAATGATTGATGTAACCCCTTTACCCATTATTTAGGCAACATGAAATTTTCAAAATTTGAAGCGTTTTAGTTGCAACCGTATTTCTTTGAATGACTTAAATGCCCTTAGTCATAGAATTTATATTAGTAAAAAAATAAAAAAATAAATAAAAAATAATCATTTTGAGTGATAAGGACACTTCTTCTAATCAATGAATGTTGTTCGTTTTTTAAAAAAAATCACCTCGTAAAATTTTCAATACTTAATTTTTAATTTTACTGACATATATTGATTAATGAGTTTTACATTATAAAAAATATATTTACCTTACATATGTGAATTTTGAGAGCGGCACTCTATCACACCAAACACATTAAATCAAGGGGGGTTTCAAATTCATATATGAACCTTTCTTTGAAAGTCATGTAGCAAATTGAACCCATAATCACTCCATGCATTGCGCATTTTTGTACAAAATATAGAAATGGTTGATGACAAGGACGAAATCGTACTCAATGTTTTAATTTCATTTTTGTACATTTTTTCCAATAATTATTGTTCCTTTCATTTTATTTTATTTTCTATTTTTTGTCCTATTAGAGTGAATTAATCCATAATTCCATGATGATGATTGATTAAGAAAGAATAATGAAGTGTGAACAATGTAAAAAAAATGTCCTATATTAATCTCCATCTTGACAATTATGTGTGCTTTGTTTCAACACAAACGTCCATTTAGCAAGCTTTTTCATTCGTAAAACATGCCATCTTAATTCAAATTGCCTTTTTCAATCATGCTTTGGACCATACCTATAAAATGAAATTAACTAGAAATTTACAATAAAGTAATGGGGTCAAGATTTAAAACTACCCTCCACGGCTCCAATATTGAACTAGTCAAACCCTCTTTTCAAGTAAACTTCACATTATAATACATAAAGTTATTAGGTTGATGTCTTGATGACATAGCTAGTGGAATTTCGTTCACACAACATTTTCCTCAAATCAATCAAAGAAAAAAACTTATGGCAAGCCTTTATCCCTCCCTTTATCAAATGAAGTGTTGAAAAGGCGTGTATGTGTGAGTGCATAGGTGCCTCCCGTGACATCCAACGATCAGGAAGGGACCTGAAAAATTATGTGAGGAGGTTGGCCTATGACAAGAAGAAGATAAAAATTTGTTGTAAGAGCAATATTAGGATTTTTATGTAATTTAGGGTTTTGCCCCTAAGAACTCCCAAATAGGCTTGTGGCTGACTACATGTCCGACTCCCAACTCATTGCATGGAGTGGTTGTTATCAATTCGAATCCTCTCAAGTGATGATTTTTCGTTCTTTCTTGCAGCCGGTGACTTTCTTCGCTGAATTCGTTACTAACCGTGGTGAAATTCACCAACTGCAAAAATCGTGACGGAGAGAATTTTGATTCATTCGGCTCAACTAATCAGTGTAGGTCATGGGTGTACATAGAAGAGTAGAAAATAAAATGAAGTAAAATCAGGAAAAGTTGAGCTGGAATTGATAATCTACTGCAAAACCAAGAAGGATAGTTACTTGCTTTAAATTAGTGGAGGTGACAAAGAAAGAGAGAAGCCACCAAAAAAGAGAAAAAAAAGGAGTAGGAAATGTGAAAGAGAGTGCTTGGAATGGCATCACGCATTCTGTCTTTTGCTTAGGACCCACGAGGGTCGGCTCTTACCTCCTATTAATCATCTCTCTCTTCTCTTCTTTGTAGTTCTTCCTAATTCAATTGTGCACGGCAACATGTCTCTCTTTCTCTCTCTATATATATTTATATATACGTACATATATGTCAAAAAACGTACCTATTCTCCCATCCAACTCCCTAACTCATTGTTTTCTTCTCCCTCTCAAAAGTCAAAACAGCCTTCCTTTTCACTCGTTTCTTTCATTGTTTTGGTTTTTGTTATGCTTAATTTTATTATAATGTTTGTGGTTAGATGGCTAATATTAAGAGAATCAACATGTCCGGTTTTACTTGGTTTCTACATGCATGAATGACCTTCTCTCAACTACTTTGTATTATTATATGCAAAAACTTCCGGTACCAAAATCTTAAAAGTTGTAGTCTTCTTTTTACACTTGGACGTATTGAATCCGATTCTCATAAGAATAAAAAATACATGACTTAAAAGATGTTTATAATTTACGGGTATTTACGCATATCCAGAGTTAATAATTGGGTTGATTCTAGCTTTGTTAAAAAAATAAAATAAAATAAAAAATAAAATAAAATAAAAAATAAAAAAAATAAAAAAAAACCAACCCTTAAAAGTGGTTTGCTAATACTAAAATGAATTAGTTGAGTTGGATACATGAATTGTCATATCAACTGTGACCCTTTTTTCAACGGTCTGATACTGTTATATATCTCTATGAACCGGCCAATTTACACTGATATTCTTCCGAATTTGTTACACTGCGACCGCATCTAATATCGCAATCAATACCACGATTGGCCAATTCATAACAATTGGGTTGATTCTAGCTTCGTTAATAAAAAAGAAAAAAACTTTAAAAGTGGTTTGCTAATACCAAAATGAATTAATTGAATTGTATACGTGGTTCCTCGTATCGGCTGGTTCGTGATCATTTTTCAACGGTCCGATACCGTTACACATCTTTATGAACCGATCAATTTACACCGATATTCTACCGAATCTGTTACAACGATCAATACCGCGACTATAAACCCATGGTTAGATATTAAAATTGTTGATTTTTTGTACACAATGTCACAAAAATATTGACCTATATAGGTAAAAATCTGAATTACTCCAAATAACCCAAATGATGATATGACCTAAAACTTCATATATACACATGATGCATGTGCATATGTCTATTCATGTGATTATGAGAGGTGTTTTGATTTTTTCCATGCTTGATCAATATTTGAAGTAATGGGACAATATTGTTTCTTGAAGCACTTCAGAAACAGAAAGATTCATTTCATTATTAATGGACCATCGAATCTGTAAAAGATTGATGCAAACAATGATGTACATATGGAGTTCATGCACAACTGGCCAAGTCAACTTTTTGTGTCTAACAAGTTTTAGAACATTGAAGTACTATAATTACCCAAAAAAATAAAAATAAAAAACATTGTGCCCTTGGAATACTCTTTAGCCTTTGTCTCCTAGAAGCTAGTAAAGTTGTGCTTAGGGCTTTGGGTAGGCATGGAGCTAATTAAGATATGAAATTTGGTTAACTTATGTCAAAAAAAAAAAATCAAAATTCAATAATATTAAGTTATATTTTTGTTTGATTGAAGAATTTGTGATTGTCGATCGTGATGATTAAATATATATACAATATTACCTTCGTTTGAAAATTAAAGTCATTTTCGATTTCAAACTCACCTACAGGTGAACTGGATCAACTATATAGTTAATGCTATATTTGGTATAAAGGAATGAAAAGGTGTGGAGAAAAAATAAGAATGAAGTAATCATTTATTCGGTAGAGTTGATACAACTAGAGAAACGAGAATAGGAAGGATAACCCATCCTTCCTCCTTTACACACTTTTATCTGTCCAAAAATATACTAAAGAAAGGAAGAAAGACAAGTTAACTGTTATAGAAGTTTTAAATTAAATATTATCATAAATTATATAAGTTTTAAATTACAATATTATCTTTTATAAATTACAATATTATAATATTATTGAATATAACGGTAAAAATAATTAAAACTTTTTCTTTTCTCTCCTTACTAACATAGTAAATTATGAGCTTATTCTCTTCTATCTGACCCAACAAAAAGAAGAAAATATAAAATCTCTTTCACAAAGATGTCTCATATATCCATCTGTTCTTTTCTCCCTTCCATTTAAATTATTCTCTCTCCTATCGAACAGAGTATACGTCAACGTCCAG